ATGAGGACCACCACAGGAATGGAAGACCCAGAGTTACCTCTGCTGCAGAGGAAAAGTTCATTAGAGTTACCAGCCTCAGAAATTGCAGGCCTCCAGGCTGTGTAAGGGCTATTTTATTAAGAAGGAGAGTGATGGAGTGCTGCATCAGATGACCTGGCCTCCACAATCCACCGACCGCCACCCAATTGAGATGGTTTGGGATGAGTCGGACGGCAGAGTGAAGGAAAAGCCGCCAACAAGTGCTCAGCATACAGTGGGGAAAAAAAGTATTTAGTCAGCCACCAATTGTGCAAGTTCTCCCACTTAAAAAGATGAGAGAGGCCTGTAATTTTCATCATAGGTACACGTCAACTATGACAGACAAAATGAGAAGAAAAAAATCCTAAAAATCACATTGTAGGATTTTTAATGAATTTATTTGCAAATTATGGTGGAAAATAAGTATTGGTGGCTGACTAAATACTTTTTTCCCCCACTGTATGTGGGAACTCCTTCAAGCCTGTTGTAAAAGCATTCCAGGTGAAGCTGGTTGAGAGAATGCCAAGAGTGTACAAAGCTGTCATCAAGGTGAAGGGTGGCTATTTATAAAATCTTAAATATAAGATATAATTTTATTTATTACTTTTTTGCTTACTACATGATTACATATGTGTTATTTCACAGTTTTGATGTCTTCACTATTATTCTACAATGTAGAAAATAGTAAAAATAAAGAAAAACCCTTGAATGGAGTAGGTTTGTCCAAACTTTTGACTGGAACTGTAAATGTTCATGTGTGTCATCATGTTATACTTCAGAGAACATGGTTTAAAGCTTAAATCATAATACGTTCAGTGGCAACCTGTCATTCAGGGCAGGTGGGGCAGAGCCCTACCTGTTTTGATCCCAACCTGTTTAGAAAAAAAAAAGATTTATATATATATATATATATATATATATATACACTTTTTTGTTGTTGCCTGTTTTGCATGTTATTTTGGCATTAATACGTGTCACATATCAGTTTGCAAACAATACAAAAACAAAAACAAATCATTGAGTTAATAAAGCCACATACAAACATGGTCTCTTTTTTGCTTTCTTGAGTAAGGCAGCTCCAAAATGCAGGTGTAGGGGTTGGTAATGTTCTCTAGATGTGCCGTGATTGGCTCAGTGTTCTGTCACTAATGGGGACACTACGTCACGCGAATCTACAGGGAGAGCTCGAAAATTCAAGCCCCAAGGGTGCTGCCATAGAGTTACATTAGAAGTGCCCATCCAAGAAGGCTCAAGGTCTGAGTGGCGCAGTGGTCTAAGGCACTGCATCGCAGTGCTAACTGTGCCACTAGAGATCCTGGTTCGAATCCAGGCTCTGTCACAGCCGGCCGCGACCGGGAGACTCATGGGCGGCGCACAATTGGCCCAGCGTTGTCCAGGGTAGGGGAGGGAATGGCCGGCAGGGATGTAGCTCAGTTGAAAGAGCATGGCGTTTGCAATGCCAGGGTTGTGGGTTCGATTCCCACGGGGGGCCAGTATAAAAAAAAATATATATATGTATTCACTAACTGTAAGTCGCTCTGGATAAGAGCGTCTGCTAAATGACTAAAATGTAAATGTAATGTAAATGTCATTGGCCACAGATAAAATGACATCAAATCACCTTATATCTACCGTAGCTTTGATTGGACTGATCATGTCAACATCATACTTTCAAAATCTTAGCTCGCAAGCTAGACAAGCAGTCATAATCGTGAATCAAGTCGACAATCTACTGGCAAATCCTTTTCAATCCTTGTAATATGAAGATAAATCATAGATAAAACGTATCGGTGCTCATCGGCCATTGGACATAAACATTACACAACAAGTTGGAAATCGCAAATTCAACAATGAGTGGTTTGCAAGCGTTGCAAAGCAATCACTAGCCTGCTATTCAGTGGAGTGGGTGTGTGGTCCAAGTCTGGGTTTAAGGGTCTCTTTTCCAAGCTTAAATGGATAAACTTTTACATGCAACACCATGGGCCAGAAAATATTGACTACATTGGCCATGCTGTCAATCCAGCATGACTTCTGCTGCGTTCAAAACAACTGGAAACTCGGAACTGTGAAATCTCAGACTTCAGTGAGTTCAAGACAACTGGGAACTCAGAAAAAAACGAGCTCTGACTGGGAAAATACATTTTGAACGGTCATCCAACTCGGAATTCCAAGTTGGGAACTCGGGCCTCTTTCTAGAGCTCCGACCTGAAGGTCACTGACGTCATGATTCGAATTTGTTTTTTTCAGAGTTCCCAGTTGTCTTGAAAGCACCATAAATCCAGAGAATGCCAGACTTTGATGACAAAGTTTGATGACGAAATTTGCCCACAAGAAGGACCGCCACGCCACCTTCCTGTTCAAGTGAGCACAGCACAACAAGGTGAGTCCAAAAATGGATTGTATGCTACTGGATAGATGATGTAATATGCCAGGGAGATATGTATACTGTAGCTAAGAAAGTAATACTAAGTGTATGTTGTGTAGTAAGCTGTTAGTAGCCCATGTGCCTCGCCATAATAATTTGGTCCCTCTCCCCCTCATAACTTAGCCTACTGTTCTGACTTGGTGGTGCACATGTAGCCTATAGCCTGTTTTTCAGAAATGTAATAATCAAATATTGTAATATAATAATATTGTAATATTGCAACGTTCTTTCATTGTCTGCTTATATGACCCCTTTATTTATCCTACGGTTCTGACTTGGTGTACAGGGAGAATACTGTAAGAACGACCCATGTTCTGAATTCTGTCGCTGTACATTTCAAAAGTACTGAACAAATAGTTATTGACTAAGTCCGTCCTAGCTCGCTCATCAATGTCTTAATCGAAATTACGGATTGCCTCTTATCTGCTCGTCGTCCCCTTATGCCATAGTTTGTACATCTCAATTGTCAGTAGAAACCACATTTGATTAAGCAAGTCAGCCATATCAGCATCACATCATTTTTTTAAGGCATTAAACGAGGCTGAATGAACTGTTTCGCTGCCAGACAAGGCTCTGCTGATAGCCAGGTGTAGCAGGGGTAAGGATTCCCTCCATGCTGCTGAAAAGAAAGCTCTGCTGTTGGAACAGCTTTATGTAATCCCTAACAGTTTGTGGGGACCGTTTGTGACCGTTATAGTGCAATTAATGTATTGTTTATTGTTGTGTTGTGGCTTTTCTGACATGCATAAAAAACTTTTTTGTTGAGTTTGCCCCACCAAGATTGACATGTTAAAATCGCCACTGAATACATTTTAATGCAACAATGTTCAACTGTAGCAACTCTGTTTATTTAATCAAAACAATTATTTTAGAATAAGAATAGAAATATTTCTCAATCCCGTGTTGTTTTATGTTATTGTAATTTCTGCCACACTGAATTGACAATGCAATACTTTGAAGGTTCACCCACTAAAGAAATATATTGATAAAGGATGTGACAAATATTATCTTAATGGAATCAAATTTTCAACCATCTGCCCTTTTCCAGAAACATCCATATCTGTCTCATACAAAATCCAAATCTGAATAAACTAAACAATAACACAGTTGGAATGAAATAGATGCATTTGAATGGGACATTATTGATTATGCATTTTACACTATTTCAAATGTTCTTTCATTTGTAAATTACATTGTCAAATCACTCAATTTGAATGTGAGTCATGTAATACTTTTACAGATTCAAGAGGTCATCAGGTCAAGCATTTCGCTACACTCGCAATAACATCTGCTAAATATGTGTATGTGACCAATACAATTTGATTTGATTTGATTTTATGACTGATGGGTTCCATTTCAGCCTTTTTATGATCTTCCCCTTGGTTGTCTATTTCAAAAAGGACATTACAGGATGTCCTATTTGGGCTCAATTTAGGCTTGGTGGAGCCATGATCATATTGCTTCTTAGTAAAATCGTATTACACCTTTCAACATTGGAACCTTAGGCTAGGGGAAATTAAGGCGCTAGGGATAGAAATGTAACTGGGCCTAAATTATGTTGCTAGGAGGCGCTGTTGCGACCGGAAGAGGTCGATGTGATGAGGACCATTTGAGGCAAACCTGAGATTGAAAAGAGAAATTCACGATTCTGAAATTCTATAAACAACAGAAACCATAAGACAAACGACGCCAGGAGATATTAATTTGTCTTCGACCTTGTCTTTAGGGTAAGATAATAGATACACGAAGTCATTGGTTGTGGATGTCATGCTAGAAAATCAGGGTAAGAGGAGGGATGGGCACGGACAAAACCCGCTGTCAGTCAGCCACTGGGCACAGCTGTAGAAGGATGGCTTGCTTCACGAGTCAAATACTATTACTATGCCGCAAAATGTAGCGAGACTTCACTGTTGCCAGCCAGACTATTCTGCTACAATGTATAAAAGTGTAGGCTGGATGCGCATGACTGTAATTTGTATCATGCCATGTAATGAATTAACTATAACACCGTACAGTGCTACTGTAGGTCTTCTACTAGCCGTGGTTGTTATTTACCTACTCTGGGGGAACCAATAATAAGACAGGGAATTCACACACTGACTCAGGTGACTTTTCATTACATCTATTCATCCATGAAATAACCACATTATCAGGAAAATGGACTGGTGTTACTGGAATTATCTGACCATACTTATTCTGGTTGAGATATTGGGTCAGTGGGGCATTCAATCTGATTGCTTCCTGATTTGATGATGATGATCTCATTAATTCTCAATCAATGTGGGTTAAACACTGGTTTAAATAAAATATTGTGTCTGTGCCTGCGTGTGTGCATGCGTGTGCACCTTCATTGTCTTTGCTGACGAGCATTTCCTTAAAAGCAATCATATAGATCAGAAACATGATTCCTCATCATCCGCTTCTCAAATGGATCCTGGAAATAGTCCTGCTTGCCCATGCCTCTCAGAATAGCATGAGTGGAATGTGATGAGTGTGAGATATACAGTAACTAATGACAGAGCCCTCCTTGTGTTTATTTGTCTCGCTCTTCCAGTTGCTCAGAGCTTGATAGCAGATTGTGCCTAACCCCTTCATGGTTCATACACACAGCAGAGCTTCGTCTTGTGTTGACATTTAGCCTATAGGCTCGATCACCTGCCTCCAGTGTCTTGTGAAATACCCTCTCTCGTTGGATACTGTACCGTTTTATGACTATTCTTCTGACTGTGTCTCTGTTGTAAGCAGCAGTTTTGAGAGGCTGGAGCCAAACATGGACATGGAGAGTTATGAGGACTTCTGCCTGCGGAGCCTGGCCAGACTGCAGACTGAGAGCCAGGGGAAGAGCCAGGGCCAGCAGACAGGCTGTGAGCCACCTGGTCTTGTGGAAGCTCTCTCCTTCATCCACTTCCATGGAAGGGCTGTGCTCTCACCCTTGGTAAGGAGATAGTCTGGGGGAAAGGGCAGAAGGTGCGGAGAGCAGTATAGACATATATATATACTGTAACATAAGGTCAGGGGTAGAATTGGGGGCAACGTGGGAATGGAGTTGTATTGAAGTGACATCATTTTAACATGAATTCTAGGATATTACAGTGTCTTTTTTCCAATTCCTCCCCAGCATTGGATGTACTGTAGATTTATACCATGGCATTGTTGAAAACTCATTTCTGATTGGCTTGAAAGGCATTCTAGAGCGTGCATTATTTCCCTATAACGAACAGTATATCAGCACGGTAGAATTCAATGGCTATAGTTCATTCTTACAAGCTCTATGTTTGAGCTGCTTTTGAATGAAAAAGTCGAATTGAAATCATTATTGGCATTGTTGAATTCGATTTTCATAATAGCAAACTAGGACTGATGGTTTGGTTAGCTAAACTAGCAAGGATGTCTGTTTGGTTACCAAAGCAACTACTGTAGCTATCTAGTAAACTTGCTAGCTACTTCAGTGGATGTTGAACCCATTTCTACCTGCAAATGTGTTCAATTATAGCCATGGCATAAAAGGGATAATCAACTCGGGACTCTATGCATTCTAAGAAAAATAATGCCACTCCTTGGAAGGTTAGTTCCACTCCGCTAGTGCGTTGTGGAACACACCATCCACGTTGTTCATTATTTTCCATAGAATGCATGTTCCCTTGTTGATTATTAACATTTACATATTTTTTCCCCCTTACGTACATTGTATATATTGTGGGCTAAATCCTAACCATAGATATTATCCATGCATGTAATTCCAACCTTTGCATAAAAGGTGAAGGTAATAGTAAATGTGCACAAATGTTTCAGTTAAGTTAAGCATACTTATATCCAATTAGGATTCAGCCCAGTGAGCGTAGTTTGTTGTCATGGGGGTGGCTTTGCTTTCTCCCATGACAACAACATGGTTCCCCAGGAGAGTTTGTGTATGTGTGGGTATTCTCCTGTCTGGGGTTTTGTAACTCTCAAGTTGCATGGTAACCAAATGCAATGATCCTTTGGTTTACAATGTAGCATTGTGGGCAATGGGCATTGAGTGGACACACACACACACCATTATGCCCACACGCACACACCAAATATCTGGCTTATCCATTTTGTAATTCACATGTCTTTGAGAAAGAGTCACCATAAAAAACACATCATTGTTTATTTTGTTAAATCACAGAGTATTAAAGGGGCAATCAGCGGTTCAAAGCCTTTTCCCTGCCCCTGTTTTGGTAAAAAGATGGGGGATGGGGCTTGAGAAATGAAACCACTCTCAAATTCATAGACAGACAAGGCTGACCAATGATATAAATATTATAGTTTTAATCATGTTTTGAGGCTAAATAGTGTTCGTTTATATTTACTTTGTTTACAAACATTGGAGTAAAACAAGCTTATATTTTGGGTTCTGATGGGGTACTACAGTTGAACTAAGCCCATGAGGCATTTTATGAGTTATACTCATCAAGAAACAATGGTACATATAATTAATTTACAAGTCCAAAAATGGATGGAACGGCAGATTGCCCTTTTAATCATCACTGGATATGATACGCATATCTTACCAATAAAACTCAATATTAGCGACAGTCTGAATCAATGTATGACCACTTCATAAAATTAGAGTTTTTTGGGAAAAGTATCCCTCTCTGGCAGGGAGAGCATTATTAAAAAAAAATTTATTTCACCTTTATTTAACCAGGTAGGCCAGTTGAGAACAAGTTCTCATTTACAACTGCGACCTGGCCAAGATAAAGCAAAGCAGTGCGATAAAAACAACAACAACACAGAGTTACATATGGGATAAACAAAACGTACAGTCAATAACACAATAGAAAATCTATATACAGTATGTGCAAATGTAGTAAGTTATGGAGGTAAGGCAATAAATAGGCCATGGTGCAAAATAATTACAATTTAGTATTAATACTGGAGTGATAGATGTGCAGAAAATGATGTGCAAATAGAGATACTGGGGTGCAAATGAGCAAAATAAATAACAATATGGGGATGAGGTAGTTGGGTGGGCTAATTACAGATGGGCTGTGTACAGGTGCAGTGATCGGTAAGCTGCTCTGACAACTGATGCTTAAAGTTAGTGAGGGAGATAAGAGTCTCCAGCTTCAGAGATTTTTGCAGCTCGTTCCAGTCATTGGCAGCAGAGAACTGGAAGGAATGGCGGCCAAAGGAGGTGTTGGCTTTGGAGATGACCAGTGAGATATACCTGCTGGAGCGCATACTACTGGTGGGTGTTGCTATGGTGACCAATGAGCTAAGATAAGGCAGGGATTTGCCTAGCAGTGATTTATAGATGACCTGGAGCCAGTGGGTTTGGCGACGAATATGTAGTGAGGGCCAGCCAACGAGAGCGTACAGGTCACAATGGTGTGTAGTATATGGGGCTTTGGTGACAAAACGGATGGCACTGTGATAGACTACATCCAATTTGCTGAGTAGAGTGTTGGAGGCTATTTTGTAAATGACATCGCCGAAGTCAAGGATTGGTAGGATAGTCATTTTTACGAGGGCATGTTTGGCAGCATGAGTGAAGGAGGCTTTGTTGCGAAATAGGAAGCCGATTCTAGATTTAACTTTGGATTGGAGATGCTTAATGTGAGTCTGGAAGGAGAGTTTACGGTCTAACCAGACACCTAGGTATTTGTAGTTGTCCACATATTCTAAGTCAGACCCGCCGAGAGTAGTGATTCTAGTCGGGCGGGCGGGTGCAAGCAGAGTTCTATTGAAGAGCATGCATTTAGTTTTACTAGCGTTTAAGAGCAGTTGGAGGCTACGGAAGGAGTGTTGTATGGCATTGAAGCTCGTTTGGAGGTTTGTTAACACAGTGTCCAATGAAGGGCCAGATGTGTACAAAATGGTGTCGTCTGCGTAGAGGTGGATCTGAGAGTCACCAGCAGCAAGAGCGACATCATTGATATACACAGAGAATAGAGTCTGCCCGAGAATTGAACCCTGTGGCACCCCCATAGAGACTGCCAGAGGTCCAGACAACAGGCCCTCCGATTTGACACATCATGACGTTCCCTAAGACGTTACTTGTCCCAATCGGATCAGCTGTCAAGGGGAGAGAGGGGGGGGGGGGGGGTTGTTGACATGGAAGAACAACTAGGTTGATTCATATCAGGAGGATCCATGTTGTCTGACTGCTGCCTGATTAAGTTTACTGGGAGGAGCTGTGTGAAGGAAATGTTTGTGAGAGGGGGGATAGAGAAGGGTGTGTGTTTGTGCATGCAGTGTGGGTTTGTGTTTGTGTATCTGTGCGTACGTGTGCAGGAGATGAGGTGGAAACTGAGCTGCACTTCCTAACCATATTAGAGACACATACTTCCCTCAGATTACACAGACCCACCAAGAATTTGAAAACAAATCCAATTTTGATAAACTCCCATATCTATTGGGTGAAATACCACAGTGTGCCATCACAGCAGCAAGATTTGTGACCTGTTGCCACAAGAAAAGGGCAGCAGTGAAGAACAAACACCATTGTAAATACAACCCATATTTATGTTTATTTATTTCCCCTTTTGTACTTTAACTATTTCCACGTTACAACACTGTATATATACATAATATGACATTTGAAATGTCTTTATTCCTTTGGAACTTTTGTGAGTGTAATGTTTACTGTACATTTTTATTGTTGATTTAACTTTTGTTTATTATCTATTTCACTTGCTTTGGCAATGTAAACATATGTTTCCCATGCCAATAAAGCCCCTTAAATTGAATTGAAATTGAAGAGAGAGAGAGAGAGAGAGAGAGAGAGAGAGAGAGAGAGAGAGAGAGAGAGAGAGAGAGAGAGAGAGAGAGAGGGAGAGGGAGAGGGAGAGACGGAGGTTTGAGAGCTGATGAGAGGGAAGGTTATTAGGCCTACTCTGTTTCTGTCCCACATTCCAGAACTGGACCATTGTGTTCTGAGGAAGAAGTAGCCTACACTCGTAGAAAAAAAGGTTCCAAAAGGGTTATTCAGCTGTCCCCATAGGAGAACCCTTTTTTGGTTCCAGGTAGAACCCATTTGGGTTCCAGGTAGAATCCTTTTGGGTTCTATGTAGAACCCTCTGTAGAAAGGGTTCCATATGGAACCCAAAAGGGTCCTGCCTGCAACCAAAAAGGGTTCTTCAAAGGGTTCTCCTAAGGGGACAGTCGAAGAATCCTTTAAGGTTCTAGATAGCACCTTCTTTTCTAAGAGTGTAATATAAACATTGTCACATGGATTCCGAGAGACCCAGGGGAGAATGTGTGTGGGTGCATGTGCGCCTGTCTGTCTGTTTGTCTTTATCTGACTATGTATGTGTGTGTCTCTCTGACTGTGTGTGTTTATTGTGATCCATCCTCAGCTGAGTGTGGAGCAGCGAAGGGAGATGTCCCAGTACAGACAGAGGGCTGCCCAGCTGGAGGTGGACAGACAGACACTACGCAGCAGCAGCCTGCTGGCCAGGGTTCAGGACATCCTGGACAATGCTCAGGTCAGTCTCATACAACCATTTCCCAAAGACTTCAACCACCCAAGCCATAAACCAGGGATCATCAACTAGATTCAGCCGCAGGCCGATTTTTTTCTTGAGTCTGAACAGATTTCCCAAATTAAAATCACTTGGAGCTGAGTTCCTTGTGTTTTTACAGTTTTCTATGTCCAACAATGAAAATTCAACAAGAACATTTTATTTGTATTACATTTGTTTTTGCTCAGAAAACTAGGGGGGACAAATACAACCACCTGCGGGCCGCCACCTAGGGAAACCCTGCCATAGACTGTTCTCTCTGCCTCTGCATGGCAAGCGGTACCGGTGCATCAAGTCTGACACCAACAGGCTCCTGAACAGCTTCTATCCCCATGCCATAAGACTGCTATATAGTTAACTAAATACTGTATCTAACAAAATGGCTACACAGACTATCTGAGTTGATTTATGCACACTCACAGGACCCTACACACTACACACACTGATACTCCAACACACATACAAACAATCACTCCATCTTTTGCTCACACATAATATGCACACACATTTATAATGACTCTACACACACCCACTCACATCCAATCATCATATACGCTGCTGCTACTCTGTTTATCATATATCCTGATGCCTAGTCACCTTACACCTATACATATCTACCTCTATAGATCCAGCATCCCTGCACATTGTAAATATGGTACTGGAACAGACCCTGTATATAGGATGCTTACTTACTTTATCCTGTTCTTCTTATTTTTATATCTTATGTGTTTTTGTTCTACCTTGTTATTTTTAGTAATACATTGTTATTGATTACTGCATTGTTGGGGTTAGAGCTTGCAAGAGAGGCATTTCACTGTACTTGTGCATGTGACATTAAAACTTGAAACTTTAAACGTTTTCCAACCATTTCCCAAACGTTTCCAAAACGTTTCCCAAATCCTTCGGAGCTAAAATAGTAGCCGCGAGAGAGGGACACCTTTGACCTTTGACGGTCAATGTTCTATGCGTGAACAAATGTGCCAAATGAAGAGCTTTGCTGTTTTACGAGTGGCATGAGTCTGGGTCTTCCAGAGTTCACTTGACTTGTGTTTTCTTACTAGCACTGATTTTGCTGATAGCCGCTTCATTGAGGAAAAGTTTGACTTACTATGACTGTGAGAGGTGGTTGTCTCACCTAGTTACCTTAAGATGAATGCACTAACTGTAAGTTGCTCTGCATAAGACCGTCTGCTAAATGACTAAAATGTTAAATGTTAAATGATATGTATGTAAATAACTTTAGCGACGAAGGTGTTGGAAAACCCAGCCCTTCAGGAGTCTGTATTTAAATGTACCTTGTTTCAGCTGCTTGAATAGACCTCCCTAACAACAGACAGTAAATTAAGGGCTGAAGACTATTCTATAAAAACAGTCATGATTTGTTTCCATTCAAGAGTTGCCTTTATTACGATAAGACTCATGAAGGAACTTCATTAGCTCGCCACGTGTATGTATATATGTACTATATTAGTTTATTTTAGAATAGTCTTCAGCCCTTTGTCATCCCTAAAATGTAGTACATTACCTTAACTCATGATCTGAAGTTTCTAATGTAACACTGCACTAGCCACACAACCTTAAATACCAGTCGGGGGACTCACTAGGCAATGCTATTTTTACCTGTCTCCCTAAAGTCGACTGTAAAACATATCAAGAAGACTAGGTGGTCGGCTATTTCAACAACACAGATTCCACTTCAGTTGCTCAATGACTTGAAGTGAAACAACTTTGACTTGTTTCCGAACAAGAGGAAAGAAATCTTAAATCTTATCTTCTTGTCCTCAAACACTTGAGGGAAATGGGACTGCCCAGCCTGTTGAGAACACTGTGTACAGTAGATCAATCAAGTGTCTGATGTAGAGGGAGTAAACAGCCAACAACTGACCTGACTTTAACCTATAATTTTCTCATTCTAGATTGTAATAATAATTGTTAGTCTTAAATAGCACCCTATTCCCTATGAAGTGCACTACCTCTGGTCAAAAGTAGTGCATGTTACAAAGGGAAAAGGGTGCTTTGTCGGACGCAGCCCATATCTGATTATTTGTGTTAATTCCCCTCTTCTCTCTGCCTCTCTGGCTACAGGTGGACAAAGTACCAGAGATGGAGGGTAAAATGGATCCACCAACTCCGCCATATTGCCTTTCCCCAAAACCTGAGACAGTGAATGGCTACACCCTGGTGACAGACTCCCCTGGGCTTCCCAGGGGTGGTGGTGTGGTTGGGCTACACATAGCTGATCGGCCCACCACCCCTCAACCTGAGTCCCCCATAGTCCTGAATGTGTACAGAGCAGAGGAGAGAGTGAACCAGGTAGAGGAGGGGAGGTGGGAGGTAGAGAGGGGAGAAGAAGAGATGGGGGGCGTTCAGGATGTGAGTCTCCAGAGCCTTCTGAGAAGGTCGAGGGAGTACGTGGAGAGAGAGCAGGCCCAGAGGGGGACAAAGGTCATCGGCGGGGTAACTCCAACCACCCCGGCCGCAGAGAGCCTCTCTGACAAGGAGAACGAGAGCCGCAGTCCTCAGGGAGAGATGAAACCTGAACAGGGGTACAGCCTGCGCCACAGTCCGCTAAGCCCACCTCAGACCCAGGCCCACATCCCGCACCAGAGCCAGTATCCTGTCCAAGCTCAAGCCCAGTACCAGGCTATGTGTAATCCATATGACTCCCGGTTTAGCTACCTTTCGTCTGGCCTCCCCGACGCTTACGCCCTCCTGCCCAGCCCCGAACCCAGCATGAGTCCCCGCCCCCACCGCCGGCGACCACGCCCAGTGTCCACTGGCAACATCATGATCTCCTTCCCTATTGGCCCGGCCGACCTCATCCCCAGAGGGCTAGTGGGGAGGCACCAGGAGAGCGCTGTTGTCATGGCGACAGGGGTGATGAGGTCACCGGATCAGGGGTCAGGCGTCAGTGACGGTAGCAGTAGTCATCGTAGCAGCCAGTGTGGCACCAGCCAGGTCCAGGAGAAGAGCTGCAGCTCAGTCAGTACCTCCGGACCCGGTTCACTTGGGCATCATGACGTCATCAGCTCTGGGTCTCGCCGGCGCTGCCACACCCTAGACAGCCAGCTCCACTCCTCCCATTCTGCCTCGGGACCTGGTATGGACCGCAGCCAGGAGAGGCTCCCGCGCTTCATGGGGGGAGTGCCTCATTTGCCCCCCAGCCGTAGGAGCCCCGCGGTCCCCCTGAACCAGTCCTATGAGGTGGAGAACCCTTCGGCCGCGCTGCTAAGGCCCCACGTGAGGCCCTTGACCCCTGACCCCTCTCCTTGTCACATCAAGATGAGGCTGGAGCCTGAGGGGCCTCCGGGGCCCCATGATGGACGGATCACACCCAGCTCTTCCCTAGAGGAGCAGGACAGTAAAACAGGTGAGAGAGAGAGCGAGAGAGCGAGAGAGCGAGAGAGCGAAAGAGAGAGAGAGAGCGAGAGAGAGAGAGAGAGAGAGAGAGAGATGGTGTGTGTTATGAAGAAGACTATACAGGACAGTCTGTTCTCTGTGATTAATTTGTTTTGAATATAAAGTCCACTACTTTTCGTGCAAGCATTGACAATTTTTTAAAATAATTGTGTGTGTGCGTTCATGCTTGTGTGTGTGGTTTGTGCACGTGTATGTGTGCATCCGTGCGTGCATTCATGTGTGTTTGTGTGTGTGTGTGTGTGTTTCAGAGGAGACCCAGCGACGTGTGAGTGCTCTGGAGGAGATGAAGAGGCGTCTGGAGGAGGAGCATGCCCTGCAGATGTCTCTTCTCATGGCTGAACAGGAGAGAGAACAACAGCGCCTCTGTCAGGTCAGGACATGGAACTACACCATGGGATGTTGACCCCACTCAATGTAGCAAAACCAACATTTGTCACTATTTTTCCATAACTATCAGTGCATTCCTTCCTAGTTTGTGATATTATATATAGTATATGCAGACAGAATGTCACACAGAGAATGAAACTTTAAAGCTACAGTCTGGGATTTGGGAAGCTGTTTCTTGGATGTCTTGTACTCCTGAGTGGCGCAGTGGTCTAAGGCAGTGCTAACTGTGCCACTAGAGATCCTGGTTCGAATCCAGGCTCTGTTGCAGCCGGCCGCGACCGGGAGACACATGGGCGGCGCACAATTGGCCCAGGGTAGGGGAGGGAATGGCCGGCAGGGATGTAGCTCAGTTGATAGAGCATGGCGTTTGCAACGCCAGGGTTGTGGGTTTGTTTCCCACGGGGGGCCAGTATAAAAGAATACAAATATAAAAAAAGAAAAGAAAAAAAAGAAGGTATTCACTAACTGTAAGTCGCTCTGGATAAGAGCGTCTGCTAAATGACTAAAATGTCATGGCCTGTCAGTCCTTGTGTCTAGAGCACTAACTAGTAGGAATTTGAGAGGGGTTACATTTCCCTAGCCCCACCCCTCAGCTGTATACCAAAACAAGTGTTTTTAAATCAGTACCTCCGGACCCGGAATGTGGCTTTAAGTTACATGTTTGAATATGTTAGCATTTGCAAAGTGTTATTGTTTGGCTGCTGTAGAGAAGTGACTGTCTGTCCAGTGCTCAAGGCTACACATCCTTCACGGGACAACGCTCCTGTGTGTGTGTGTGTGTGTGTGTGTGTGTGTGTGTGTTTCTCTGTGTCTTTATTAGGAGCTGGATGAGAAGGAGAAGAGGCTGAGAGAGCAGGGGTGTGGCCGGCCCCTGTGTGGGGACGATGGGCGTGACCGGAGATCTGTGAGTGACATCTACCCTGGCCTCAGCCCTTCCTGCCCTGGCCTTAGCCCCACCCTGAGTCCTGCTGATAGGTCACCTAGACACAGTGTACAGAGCATGGGTAGGTGGACTGTGGCATGGAAGAATAACTCAGACACACAAACCATTACCTCTGTAGATGTCTTTGGGTTGAAGCATTGGGTGATATGACTATCTTTTTCTATTACTATTTGAAATAGAGAGGTGCTTTACAAAACCCTTAGGGTGTTTTAGTTTTAACCTCTCCTCCACTTGTACATTTATTTTGTCTTTTAATTCTCATCTTCATATTGTATTGTTTTTTTAATGTGCAAATTAATCAATAAAATACCAACCGAACTGTTTACACAATAAATGCATATACTGCAACAATGGTTCCCCTGTAGGTCTCAGATATGTAAAGCCATCTTGGCAAAGTAAATTGTTTATTGCTTGTTTGCCTGTTTCTGAATGAACGTAATGTGTAAAAGCTCTCTTTCCACTCTCTCTCTAGATTTCACCTCTCCATCGAGCTCCAGTGCTCCCTCTCCCTCCATGCAGCCTCCTGTCTACCTGTGGGGGCCCACCTGGGGGGCCAGCAAGCCCCGGGGAAGGCTCAATCAGGTGCGTGTGTGTGTGTGTGTGTGTATGCATGTGCTTCTACATATATGTGTGTGGTCCCAACTGTTGGTGCTCCCTCTTGTGTTTCCATTTCCAGAATCATGTTCTATGTATATGTGTGTTTCATTGTTTTGTAATATAATATATTTCATATAATACAATCTTCTCTTGAGTGTGTGTGTGTGTAAGTTGATTTCCATGTGTCTATTCCTGGAATGTTCTACTGCTCCTCACTCAGGTTGTGACAATTGAACAGCAGAGGGCGCTGTGTCATCTGGGAGCCATCAGTCGTGGGTTCCTCACCCGCAGACTGCTCCAGACAGAGAAGGTCAAACAGCTGCGCCAGACCATTCAGGTGAGAGCACTCTCATATCTGCACACAGACACACACATGTATACACAATGTAGATGTATAGTAACTATAGTTACCGAGTGGCGCAGCGGTCTAAGTCACTGCATCTCAGTGCTTGAGGCGTCACTACAGACCCCCTGGTTCGATTCCAGGCTGTATCACAACCGCCCGTGATTGGGAGTCCCATAGGGCGGCGCACAATTGGCCCAACGTCGTCCGGGTTTGGCCGGTGTAGGCCGTCATTGTAAATAAGAATTTGTTCTTAACTGACTTGCCTATTTAAATAAAGGTAAAAAAATAAAATAAAATAAAAGAAAACAGTACAGTTATGTAGGGTAATAGCAACTGAATCATAATGGAACTGAAACACAATCATATTGGACTGACTGATTTAAAGACAATAATGAATAATTAATAATTTAAATGGTACCATTTTTACATCTGTGTGTGTGTATGGTTTTAGGACACACAAGAGTTCATCCGCTCATTCCAGACTGAAGCTCCACAGAAGAGAGGATCCATCTCAGCACAGGACCTGTCTCTGCAGGAGAGAGTCAGGGCACAGGTAACACAGAGAGAGAGAGAGACACAGAAATTGGAACCGGATGACTACGAGTATTGATTATATTGTGTGTGTGTCCTCTCCATCAGTTGCGTGCAGCTCAATATGACGTCCATGACATCTTCTTTGAGATGCCCCTGGAGGAGAGGCTAGCTCTGCTGCAGCTGGACAGAGAGGTCCGCACAGAGAAGAAGCTAAGAGAAATGGTAACCTGACTGGACATTTCACCTTTCAATCACAGACTTAGACCAACCACAACACACTGGTTGGGACTTTTAACTGTCAGATTATTTTTCTCTGAAATGAAACTATCAAGTGAGATTTCAAACAAATACATGTCTGTCATTTGTGAAAATGGATGTATAGCGTTTTGGAAAGAAACTCTTGAAATGAAAATGTTCGATTTCATCTGTCAAAGAGTTAAACTTTTGGTGTACAAAAACATACATAAAAACTCTCCTTTCTCTCTGTTGTCCATCAACGTATGAGCCCCATGAAAAAACGTTGATTCATCTGTCACAATCTCTGTCTGACCATTGCCTAAAACATACTGACCCTGGCCTAAAACATACTGACCCTGGCCTAAAACACACTGACCCTGGCCTAAAACACACTGACCCTGGCCTAAAACACACTGACCCTGGCCTAAAACACACTGACCCTGGCCTAAAACACACTGACCCTGGCTTAAAACACACTGACCCTGGCCTAAAACACACTAACCCTGGCCTAAAACATACTGACCCTGGCCTAAAACACACTGACCCTGGCCTAAAACACACTGACCCTGGCCTAAAACACACTGACCCTGGCCTAAAACACACTGACCCTGGCCTAAAACATATGACCCTGGCCTAAAACACACTGATCCTGGCCTAAAACACACTGACCCTGGCCTAAAACACACTGACCCTGGCCTAAAACACACTGACCCTGGCCTAAAACATACTGACCCTGGCCTAAAACACACTGACCCTGGCCTAAAACACACTGACCCTGGCCTAAAACACACTGACCCTGGCCTAAAACAAACTGTTGATGATTCTGATGTGTAACTGAATCTGAGAATCTACTGACTGTATGTGTGTGTGTGTGTGTGTGTGTGTGTGTGTGTGTGTGTGTGAGTGTGGTCCATAGGAGAAAGCCAGGAGCCCTAAGGACAGAGTTCTGTCTGCTGCCACACAGAGGTCACTGGACAGGAAGAAGAGGTGAGGGGGTGGAGTCCTGTGGGACTGGTTAGATGGTGGATCTGTAATCAAACCAGATGGCTTAGTTGAATTTGTACCAGGAGATCAGCCTATGATAAAATATCCCAAATATATTTCTGTCAGGAGAACTCATGTACTCATGTTCGGCTGACATTATTGAGATAAAATCATAATTATTCTGATGTGTATCGTTCTGTTCTCTCAGGGTGGGTGAGTCTCCAGGACAAGCCAGGAAAGTACAGCAGAAGCCAAAGAGCCCTCCCACTAACAGGTACAGTACAGAACAGTGCTGCCCCCTACTGACTGCACATAAGTGTCTCCTATACTTCACATCTCTTACTGTCTCCTATACTTCACATCTCTTACTGTCTCCTATACTTCACATCTCTGACTGTCTCCTATACTTCACATCTCTTACTGTCTCCTATACTTCACATCTCTGACTGTCTCCTATACTTCACATCTCTTACTGTCTCCTATACTTCACATATCTTACTGTCTCCTATACTTCACATCTCTGACTGTCTCCTACACTTCACATCTCTTACTGTCTCCTATACTTCACATCTCTTACTTTCTTTCTATACTATATAAAAAAAGCTGTACATATGAAACAGTTATCCTCCAGATAAGGAAGTGTTCTAGGTGTCAGTACAGGTCAGTGGTACACTATCTATCTCTCCTTTCTGTCTTTCTCTCCTCATCACTCTCTCTCTCCCTCAGGATCCTGAAGCCAAGTCAGGGTCAGAATGCCTCAGTCCCAGGTCAGCTAAACAGACAGGGGTGAGTACAGTCTCCAACCTGTCTCTACTTCTCCCCCTCTATTTATTTCAATTCCCTTCTTATTTCATTCCTTAACTCATAAAAATGTAATAATACAACTAGAATTTATAATTAATAAAAATCACCCCATCTCTCCCCCTCCACTCTGTCTGTCTGTCTGTCTGTCTGTCTGTCTGTCTGTCTGTCTGTCTGTCTGTCTGTCTGTCTGTCTGTCTGTCAGGAGCTGGTATAGAAAGACCCCGGAGGACAGAGTGAGGCGCTCAGACAGCCTGAAGAAGCAGAATTCCCTGGGCTAACAGGTTCCTCCCTCAGTCACTCTATGACCCCTCACTCCCTGACCCTTGACCTCTGGGCCTTCTATCAGCCCCATATTCCACTATGGTTCGACCACCACCACCACCACCACCACCAATGCTACTAGTCCCTCTAACCTCCCTCTAACCTCCCTCTGATGGTTCAGCCAGTGCTCTCTGTCCATGGCACACCCTACCCAATATATTGTTACTATAGTTACATAGATTTTTCTACTATTACAGACTTATGAACAGTTCATGTATTCCTTAGGTTTGAATGCTGCTGTGCACTCTTGTGCCAAGATAATTACTGCATTAATGCTGCTAGCTAGCTATATTTGCTGCTTAACTTGCAAAGACTTTGCAGCTAGAGGTATTCTTTAGTGGATATGTAGTATGGAGATGGACTCAAAGAAGCATGACAAAAGTAAAGGAAGTAGATTTCACTAGTCAGGGGTGTGGATTGTCTTCTGACAGGTGGCGTCACACCTCCGCTCGTAACCTCAACGTAGTCGTGGCGCTATCTGACATAAGACAATGAGAGGTGTGTTAACTGTAAAACACACTGGTGGCCTTTCCAGACACACCTCAGAGAGTTATTGTGTGATTACATAGCTTTAACCTTTGCTATAGTAGCCATTACAATGTCAAATGACGCTGCTGGTAGTCACAGATAGTTGCCATGTAAAAAAAGCTATTTTAAACCAATTTATTTCTAATATCATTTTTCAGTTAAAGGGTCCCTATAATACATGGTGCTGAACTCTGCTTTGTGTGAAGTCTGTAACATTTCAAATTGGTTTGTGTGTGATGTTTGCAATTTTAAAATATCAATGTGTTTTGCTGCGAAACGTCACGGCCAAATGAGAGAAAATGTACAGTTGAATGTACTATTGTCTTATTTTACTGTCCCAATAGAATCATGCTTTGGTTTCAGATGGTCGGATAACCGGCATGTTTGAGCTGTAGCTGACAGACAAGCCTATGTCTCTGGAGAGTATTTAGAATATCCCATACATAAATGAAGCTGCCTTTCACAAACAAACATGACTGAGATATCTGGAATATCTGAAACCTGCCAGTGTATATGAGAGGATTTACAGAGAAAACATTGACAATGAAAACCAAAGTAACTCACCAGTGTGCAGTAGCTATAACATCCTTTTCTCAGAGCAGTCTTCTTGTAGCCTGGCTGATGCGCAGGCCCATGTGGTACACAGTTAGAGGAGAGCTTGTGGTACATACAAGCACGTTAGCCAGGGAAGTCTTCTTTCCCCACCAAGGGGCTGATGTATCCCACCTAGGACAATCCTGGGAGGGATACAGCATACACTAAGGTGTCATTAACATGTCATTAATATGTCATTCTGTGAAAGAGTTGTATACTGACTCTGAGTCAGTTGCTAGGGGGATTTGTATATTAATAACTGGCTCATGTATCTGCTTAAACAGCACTACATCACCATACATGGCCTTTTGTAGCAGTGACGGATTTCTGGTGTTGTTGTTGACTCGCTTTGATGAATTTACTTTGTAATTTGTGTGTTGAATACAAAACATTTTGTAATTTTCTTCCTGTTTACAGCCTGTGCTTGATGTATTTATTTCAGAATGACCAATTATATAAAATAATGATATTTAAATGACTGTGTTCTATTCATGTGAGTGAATATATTCCGTGGCAGTAATCTTTATTGCAGGAAAAATCATGACATGCAACATTTAAATTTCAATCTAAGATGGAGATTACATTGAGTGAGCAGAAATTAATGATCAAAAGAATACACACCATGCTGTTGTAGAGTCCAGTAATAAAGACTAACGAGATGTATTATTAAGTTAACATCTACAATATAAAATGTCATACATTGTTACAAATCACACAAAGATACAGTACCTATCCATATTCATGGACAATGACTGTACAGTATTTATGTAAAAAACAGTAGAACAGAGTTAAACATTTCTCAAATCCAGTTCATGGACCAGCACCGGGCCCTTTGTTGCTGACAGGTGACTGGTAAGCGGTCCCTCAGGCATGAGAACGATGGGCTTTCCAGTACAAAATAGTTTGAGAAATACTGCTCTATAACAAAGTTAAAATTCTATGTGACAAAGAACATATCTTAACATAGAGTATAGCAAATATACTAGATTAATAACATGCTGAACCTAACATTTATCCTAACGTTTATCATTATCCAGTAACTCCTACCCATAACCTTTACAATACTAATATTAAACATACACGCATAGTACTGCTGGGTAAGTTAGTGGTGCATATCAAATAGGCTATGATAGAGAAGAGAAAATATATTGAGACAAAAAACATCATTAAGATTATCTAATTAGCTGGCAAATCCCAGATTGACTGTGCTCTTAGACAGGCTTTTCTTGATCAGGCAGTTGTTGTTGCTGCATTGCTGCTACTGGGCAGTTTCTCATAGCACTTCTTCATCTCTTCATATTCCTCAGAGACATCTGCAAAGAAGCAATGACATAAGCTTACATGTTCACTATGTACCATTTGGTACCAGGTATTTAATTGTCCCTAATTCTTTGAGGTACAGTAAGTACCAGAAAGTATCTGTTGCTAGTTTCTTAGTTAATTAATCACCAGATAAGTACCAGCTTAAACTGGGCTGTAAAAAATATATAGTTTGACAAGTAGTATAGTATGAAACTGGAATTGGGAGTTTTGCCTCTACACAACATGCAGTTCAATATTTTGTCTTGATGTTTATATTCCCCGGAGCCATTTTATGTTTTGGATATAACATAAATAAACAACATATTGTACAAAATATATATTTGACAAGTTTGATCAAATATGACAAATCCAACAGAACCCATACAGTTATTCAGTTTGAGTTTACTTATTCTTGCTCACAGATAAAACTGAAGAAATGCAGAATTTACTTGATTAAGAACTGCAAAGCACTCATTTAAAATACACTGCTCAAAAAAATTAAGGGAACACTTAAACAACACATCCTAGATCTGAATGAATTAAATAATCTTATTAAATACTTTTTTCTTTACATAGTTGAATGTGCTGACAACAAAATCACACAAAAATTATCAATGATAATCAAATTTATCAACCCATGGAGGTCTGGATTTGGAGTCACCCTCAAAATTAAAGTGGAAAACCACACTACAGGCTGATCCAACTTTGATGTAATGTCCTTAAAACAAGTCAAAATGAGGCTCAGTAGTGTGTGTGGCCTCCACGTGCCTGTATGACCTCCCTACAACGCCTGGGCATGCTCCTGATGAGGTGGCGGATGGTCTCCTGAGGGATCTCCTCCCAGACCAGGACTAAAGCATCCGCCAACTCCTGGACAGTCTGTGGTGCAACGTGGCATTGGTGGATGGAGCGAGACATGATATCCCAGATGTGCTCAATTGGATTCAGGTCTGGGGAACGGGCGGGCCAGTCCATAGCATCAATGCCTTCTCTGGAGATGATCCTCAGGGCCCTCCTCTGCACCCTGTCTAGTTGGGCCTGCTGCTATTTACTGCATCAAACTAACAGCACTCCACAATATTCCAGACAAGGCCTGACCAGTGTAGTGTATACTGTGACCAGATCTTCAGTGGGTAGGCCATTTCTGTCAAGAACAGTCAAAAAGTGCAGGCGTTTTGAGGCCTTCCTCACCGATTGCTCCACATGTGTCACCACTGAGGTTAGTCTAGATGAAAACCAAGATACTTGGTTGTTGTTAGCACTGCTACTTCCTGTCACACTAGGATGAGTGGTGCAGGTTGTGGAGGGTCTCTTGAAAAACATATCCGAATTTCCACAGACTTTTCCCTATTCAGGGAATGTGGCCCACTCTTCCAGCTGCTTTGTCTCCAAGACCATGGAAGTGTCCTTACATTTACATTTTAGTCATTTAGCAGACGCTCTTATCCAGAGCGACTTACAGTTAGTGAATATATATATTTTTTTTGTACACTGGTCCCCCGTGGGAATCGAACACACAACCCTGGCGTTGCAAACACCATGCTCTATCAACTGAGCTACATCCCTGCTGGTCATTCCCTCCCCTACCCTGGACGACGCTGGGCCAATTGTGCGCCGCCCATGAGTCTCCCGGTCGCGGCCGGCGGCGACAGAGCCTGGATACGAACCAGGATCTCTAGTGGCACAGTTAGCACTGCAATGCAGTGCCTTAGACCACTGCGCCACTCAGGAGTACACAGTCCTCTTGGATACTGGTTAGTGGTATGGCTCGGGACAGCTCTACAACGTCTGCATACCCAGTGTCCAGAGTGTCACTGAAGACAACTTTTCGGGTGGACATATGAAGGAGAAACAGATATGGTGAGGGGCATAAATGTGCCATTCACCATCACCCTCTGCCTTCTTCTTGTGGTGTAGCTGTGAAGCCAGGCTATTAACCTTGGGCACAGTTCAATGTCAGACAGATGTTGCAGGAGCTTTGCATGATCTACTTGATCAAAGGCATTGGACATGTCAGCAAGTAACAACCTCACCATTGTTGGTTTTTCTGGAGTCTGTAGCTGTCAGCCAGTAGTGTGTGGCTTTCACAAGGGCATTAGTAGTGCTGGACTTTGGAAGGTAGGCATACTGATTTGTGCACTCAGAGAGAAATGTTGGCATGAGTTTTTTCATGATGTAGCTCTCCTGATTTTTCTAAGGATCAAGTTGTACCTGGGTTTGACTTTAGGTATGGGACACACATTGGCAGTCTTCCAGGCAGCAGGAGCAGTCCCCTGCCAGAGGTGTTAACTATGTATGTGATGACAGGGGCTAGATCTTCTGCATGCTCTTTTAGTAGCAAGGTTGGAATGCCATCAGGCCCACATGCTTTACACGTCTGGTCAGAGCTTGCTTTATCTGGTCAATGCTGCACAACTCAACCTGCCTTGTAGGCATGGGCAGAGGGAAGGTGGCAAGAGATATGGTGCTTGTCCATGCCTCAGCAAAGAAGCCATTAAAAACATGTTGTCGTCTTCAACTCCCTTGAACTGTATTCTACCTCCTGATGTTTTCTTTCGTCCCAGTCCTTTGTTAATGAAGTCCCAGTCCTTTGTTAATGAAGTCCCAGTCCTTTGTTAAGGAAGTCCCAGTCCTTTGTTAAGGAAGTTCCAGTCCTTTGTTAAGGAAGTTCCAGTCCTTTGTTAATGAAGTCCCAGTCCTTTGTTAATGAAGTCCCAGTCCTTTGTTTAGTTTTTCTTCTTTAGGTCCTGGATTTAAGTTTTGTAGTAGTTTTTCTTTGCTTCCCCATCGTTTCTGTATTTTCTCCATTTCATTGTTTTCCCCCATCTGTTGAAAGTCTTCAGTCTTTTCCTGATCCAGCCTTTATTTGTTCAGGGCTTGTCCAGTGGTTTTGTTTTCTTATTTCTGATTGGCATGCATACATCAAGTGCAGTTTGAATGCAGGAGCGGAACATCTCCACCTCAGCATCTTGATGGGCAGGTGATTAAAGTCTCCACACAGGATGAGATCCATTTGGGGAGAGGACATCCTGATCACATCAATGGTGTTTATGAGATAATCCACAGTGTTCTCGTGAAGTTTCTCATTTGCCCATGGTGGATGTTAGAGTACTTCCACTACCAGAGATGAAACTGAGCTGGGGAGTGGTTTAGGACGAAGCTGAAGCCAGATACACTCAAACTCCTCTTTCTCTAGGTCAGTTCTTCTCTTTGCCTGCATACTGTGATTCACATACATAGCCACGCCCCCTCTTCTCATCCGCTCTCTGGACCTGTCATTTCTGAAGAGCTGATAGTCTTGTATGAACAGAGATTCATCTGGGATATTTTCGTGGGCCCATGTTTCAGTGACACATCTAAATGTCTGCATTTACTGATTTAAGCAGCAGTTCAAATGAATCCCTTTGTTTATCAATTATCTTCAATTCAATGATCTTCAATTCTTGGAAAGTTTGATTGGCTGATTGAACAATTAAGCAATAAGGCCAGAGGGGGTGTGGAATATTGGCCAATCTACCACGGCAAAGGGCTGTTCTTGTGCACAACGCAATTTGCAGTGCCTGGATACAGTCCTTAGCCGTGGTATATTGGCCACATACCACAAACCTCTGTGGTGCCTTATTGCTATAATGAACTGGTTACTAACACAAATAGAACAGTAATCATGTATTTTGCGTCATACCTGTGGTATCAAGTCTGATATACACACTGCTGAAATTCTGTTTCAGACAATCAGCATCAAGGACCCAAACTACATATTAATCCTGTACAGTACATTTGGAAAGTATTCAGACCCCTTCACTTTTTCAAAATGTTGTTACGTTACAGCCTTATTCTAAAATTGAATAAATTGTTGTTTTTCCTCATAGAATCTACACAGAATATACCCCACAATGAAAAAGCAAAAACAGGTTTTTAGAAATGTCACATTCACCTTTGTATTCAGACCCTTTACTCAGTACTTTGTTGAAGCACCTTTGGCAGCAATTACAGCCTCGAGTCCTCTTGGGTATGACGCTACAAGCTTGGCACACCTGTATTTGGGGAGTTTCTCCCATTCTTTTCTGCAGATCCTCTCAAGCTCTGTCAGGTTGGATGGGGAGCATCGCTGCACAGCTATTTTCAGGTCTCCCAGAGATGTTAGATCGGGTTCAGAGACTTGTCCCGAAGCCACTCCTGCGTTGTCTTGGCTGTGTGCTTAGGGTCTTTGTCCTGTTGGAAGGTGAACCTTCGCCCTAGTCTGAGGTCCTGAGAGCTCTGGAGCAGGTTTTCATCAAGGATCGCTCTGTATTTTGCTCCGTTCATCTTTCCCTCGATCCTGACTAGTCTCCCAGTCCCTGCTGCTGAAAAACATCCCCACAGCATGCTGCTGCCACCACCATGCTTCTCTGTAGAGATGGTGCCAGGTTTCCCCCAGACGTGGCACTTGGCATTCAGGGCAAAGAGTTCAATCTTGGTTTCATCAGACCAGAGAATCTTGTTTCTCATGGTCTGAGTCCTTTAGGTGCCTTTTGGCAAACTCCAATTGGGCTGTAATGTGCCTTTTACTGAGGAGTGGCTTCCGTCTGGCCACTCGTAACATCAAGGCCTGATTGGTGGGGTGCTGCAGAGATGGTTGTCCTTCTGGAAAGTTCTCCCATCTCCACAGAGGAACTCTGGAGCTCATTCAGAGCGACCATCGGGTTCTTGGTCACCTGCCTGACCAAGGCCCTTCTCCCCCGATTGCTCAGGTTGGCCGGGCGGCCAGCTCTAGGAAGAGTCTTGGTGGTTCCAAACTTATTCCATTTAAGAATGATGGAGGCCACTGTGTGGACCTTGGGGACCTTCAATGCTGCAGAAATGTTTTGGTACCCTTCCCCAGACCTGTGCCTCAACATAATCCTGTCTCTGAGCTCTACGGACAATTCCTTTGACCTCATGGCTTGGTTTTTGCTCTGACATGCACTGTCAACTGTGGGACCTTGTATAGACAGATGTGTGCCTTTCCAAATTATGTCCAATCAATTGGATTTACCACAGGTGGACTCCAATCCAGTTGTAGAACCATCTCAAGGATGATCAATGGAAACAGGATGCACCTGAGCTCAATTTTGAGTCTCATAGCAAAGGGTCTGAATACTTATGTAAATAAGGTATTTTTGTTTTTAATATTTAATTAATTTGCAAGAATTTCTAAAAACCTGTTTTCGCTTTGTCATTATGGGGTATTGTGTGTAGATTGATGAGGATTTAAAAAAAATCTATTAAAAAAATATCAAGGGATCTGAATACTTTCCGAATGCACTGAATATGGTTGTTATATCCCACAATGTTCTCTTCCATTTACCTGGGACGAGCAAGCTGTTATGTGTCTTGAGTGACTGGTTCATGGATTCTTGTAAATCATGCTCCAGCTCTTCCACAATGTGTTTCTGATTTAGGACAAAAAGGTTTTAGATTTTCGGTAACACATTATTTTAAGGTACACACATTAGCCACATATTTGCAGTTCATAAGAGCGTACACTACCGTTCAAAAGTTTGGGGTCACGTAGAAAATTCCTTGTTTTCGAAAGAAAAGCAATTTTTTTGCCCATTAACATAACATCAAATTGATCAGAAATACAGTGTAGATAGACGTACAGAGGCCCATTATCAACAACCATCAGTCCTGTGTTCCAATGGCACGTTGTGTTTGCTAATCCAAGTTTATCATTTTAAAAGGCTAATTGATCATTAGAAAACCCTTTTGCAATTATGTTAGCACAGCTGAAAACTGTTGTGCTGATTAAAGAAGCAATAAAACTGGCCTTCTTGAGACTAGTTGAGTGTCTGGAGCATCAGCAATTGTGGGTTCGATTACAGAGTGTCTAGTTTGAGAAACAGACGCCTCACAGGTCCTCAACTGGCAGCCTCGTTAAATAGAACCCGCAAAACACCAGTCTCAACATCAACAGTGAAGAGGCGACTCCGGGATGCTGACCTTCTAGGCAGAGTTGCAAAGAAAAAGCCATATCTCAGACTGGCCAATAAAAAGAAAAGATTAAGATGGGCAGTCTGAGATTTGGCTTTTTCTTTGCAACTCTGCCTAGAAGGTCAGCATCTCGGAGTCGCCTCTTCACTGTTGACATTGAGACGTGTTTTGCAGATACTATTTAATGAAGCTGCCAGTTGGGGACCTGTGAGGCGCCTGTTTCTCAAACTAGACACTCTAATGTATTTGTCTACTTGCTCAGTTGTGCACCGGGGCCTCCCACTCCTCTTTCTATTCTGGTTAGAGCCAGTTTGCACTGTTCTGTGAAGAGAGTAGTACACAGCGTTGTACGAGATCTTCAGTTTCTTGGCAATTTCTTGCATGGAATAGTCTTCATGTCTCAGAACAAGAATAGACTGACGAGTTTCAGAAGAAAGTTCTTTGTTTCGGGCCATTTTGATTCTGTAATCGAACCCACAATTGCTGATGCTCCAGATACACAACTAGTCTGAAGGACAGTTTTATTGCTTCTTTAATCAGCACAACAGTTTTCAGCTGTGCTAACATAATTGCAAAAGGGTTTTCTAATGATCAATTAGCCTTTTAAAATGATAAACTTGGATTAACAAACAACATGCCATTGGAACACAGGACTGATGGTTGCTGATAATGGGCCTCTGTACGCCTATGTAGATATTCCATTAAAAATCTGCCGTTTCCAGCTACAATAGCCATTTACAACATTAACAATGTCTACACTGTATTTCTGATCAATTTGATGTTATTTTAATGGACAAAAGAATGGCTTTTCTTTCTAAAATAAGGGCATTTCTAAGTGACCCCAAACTTTTGAATGGTAGTGTATATAAGTCACTAATAAGGCCTTTATTGTGTCTTATTAGTCATATATTAGGCATTAATTAAGGGTTTTCTTATTCAAACATAAGTTATGTATTACTGGCCAATCCTTACTACTAACCCTAATGCCTAACCCTCACCTTAAATTAAGACCAAAAACTCTTTAATTTTTACAATATTGCCAATATAGATGGGGAGGGAGGGTGGAATAAGAATGGGTCGCACCTACTGAGAAGGGGAGATGGGACAGACAGGACAAATAATGCTTATTCATTTTTTTCTCTAGTGTTTTTCCTTTCTTTGTATATGTACTTTTTGAATATTATTGCCTGTCTGCGATCTGAACCCCTCACAGAAAAAATAAACAATAAAAAGTTGGTCACTAAAAATATAGCCAGTTTTGACTTTGTAGCTGGCCTGTCTAAGGGGAAATGACTCAGTTCTGCCTCAAGGACAAAACTCATGGACATAAACATCAACCTGCATTTTTTTCCTTTCCTTTGCTGGTTCCAGAAACTGCCCTAAAAACATTGTAAGCACCTGCTCTAAAATCAAGGGCATCTCAAGGACTATCAGTGCATTTCAAGTTCAAATCGTGGAGGCCCACAGGACATTCCTTCCTTCAGACCTGGAAACCCAGTTTAAGGAACTCTCTTGCCAATCAATGATATAATTAGAAAGAAACGACAGTTCTTGCAGGCTATTTGAATAGCCCTGCTGCTAATGCTGTCTCATATCCTGGACAAAAACTCTTCACCAATTCTATTTTTGGTACAGAAAATCATAAGAGTCAACTCAACAGTATCAACTGCTATACAACTGAACCTCTTATGTGACTAAGGATGCTATAGATGTTCCTTTGTTATTTTCACTGAATGGTAAAATAAAGGGGGAGGTAAACCTTCATTTCTTTGAGGAGATCCAGCATCTCTTTCTTGGCCTTGTTGAACATTTCTCCCTTAGATTCCTTCAAGTGATTCCTCAGTTCCTTTCGCATATTCTCCAGACTGTCTGTTCCCGTTAACTGTGCTGCCCCTAAAATACAGACAGCACATTTCACAACCATGGTATGACCTGATTTGCTACTGAAATACTGCTAATGAAATTGTAGAAAAAAATGTGTTATCCGAAATGTTATCCCAATTCTAGGTCAATGTTTCTGTGCACTGTAGATGAATACTATTGAATAGCTTATTAAATATCAATCTCAAAACCTACTTTCATAGCATGGGCGCATTGTGTCACTAATTGACTTTGGGAGAATGTTGTAGATTTCTTTCTTCTTCTCACGGATGTCCATCTTTAGTTTTGCCTTCAATTTGGTTTCCTTTCAGACAGAAAATATTATTCAACAACATTGTCGTTAACTATATTTGGATTCTCTTGACTAATAATTATAATAATAATATGAATCATCATAACATCACACTAGCAACGTAACTACAATTTGACAAGCTTTGCTAAATGCTCTGGGGGGAAAGGATCAGATGGCAAATTGAGGGCCAATAAATAGACTGTATTCATGCGGTGGCCATTATTCATTGATTAACGTTCATTTTCTAAAGGGGTAGAAAGTGCTCCATTTAAAACACAAAAAAACCTACAGAAGTGTCACCTGTATATTAGATTAGCTGTTAGCACATTGTCATCATTACCCGTTCTAAAGACTCCACGGTTTACTATTTACCGCACTAGCCATATTTGGGGAGCACGTTCAGGGTGAATAAGGTCTCTAGGCCAAATGACAGTAGCCTAGCAGTCATGCCACTTCTTGCCACTCCTTGTCATCCAAAACAAATGTTTGGCATGACGAAGGAGTTCACATGATAGCACAAATGAAAGCCTATTTGCTGTAATTAAACCTTTCCAGTAGTTTTGAGTGAATACAAATATCGCACCCTACCTCCGTCTTGAGGAATGTCAGATGCAGTGACACTTCTGGGTGCTTCTCAACCAAGCGGTTTGTGTCAAGGGTGAAGTTATCAATCAAATAATTGATTGAGCTGTCCTTGCCTTGATTTCTGAAATAAATTATGTTTTAATTAGAGCTATACGGGACCTACAGTGGGGAGAGCAAGTATTTGATACACTGCCGATTTTGCAGGTTTTCCTACTTACAAAGCATGTAAAGGTCTGTAAGTTTTATCATAGGTACACTTCAACTGTGAGAGACGGAATCTAAAACAAAAATCCAGAAATCTGTCATTAACAGAACTGCGGGGAAACAGTGCCCAATAGGTGGGGGTGGACACTTTCTACCGGTCGCCCCCGCCTCACGCTAGCTACTCCGGCACGCAGGAGGCTGGGCAGCTAACTAATTAGCTTGCTAGGTAGCAACACCATGTGCTAGCTTGATAGTTAGCTAGCTAGCACACGGTGTCGCCCCTGTCTTCCTCCTGCTGTGTACCGGAGAAAACCGTGACTGAAAAAAAATAAAAGTGATACTGGCATGAGTAGTGTGCAAGTTTTTACTTTCTTTGAAGATAGCATTAAATTATTCCCACACACATGCAGCAAGCAACTTCAGATGTGCAAGTTGTTTTCCTATTTATAATATCAACATAACTCTGAATTCAATCAACATGGAATGATAAGATCTTTATTCAATCAATAAACAGTACAATTGGTATATTCTGGTTTCACACAAAACAGAAACGGGGAACCTTGCTTTGTTGATTTTGATTCCAAACATTATTTTTCACACATGGTTACCGGCTTTGATTGAATACATGTACAGTGGGGAGAACAAGTATTTGATACACTGCTGATTTTTCAGGTTTTCCTACTTACAAAGCATGTAGAGGTCTGTAATTTTTATCATAGGTACACTTCAACTGTGAGAGACGGAATCTAAAACAAAAATCCAGAAAATCACATTGTATGATTTTTAAGTAATTAATTTGCATTTTATTGCATGACATAAGTATTTGATCACCTACCAACCAGTAAGAATTCCGGCTCTCACAGACCTGTTAGTTTTTCTTTAAGAAGCCCTCCTGTTCTTCACTCATTACCTATATTAACTGCACCTGTTTGAACTCATTACCTGTATAAAAGACACCTGTCCACACACTCAATCAAACAGACTCCAACCTCTCCACAATGGCCAAGACCAGAGAGCTGTGTAAGGACATCAGGGATAAAATTCTAGACCTGCACAAGGCTGGGATGGGCTACAGGACAATAGGCAAGCAGCTTGGTGAGAAGGCAACAACTGTTGGCACAATTATTAGAAAATGGAAGAAGTTCAAGATCACGGTCAATCACCCTCGGTCTGGGGCTCCATGCAAGATCTCACCTCGTGGGGCATCAATGATCATGAGGAAGGTGAGGGATCAGCCCAGAACTACACGGCAGGACCTGGTCAATGACCTGAAGAGAGCTGGGACCACAGTCTCAAAGAAAACCATTAGTAACACACTACGCCGTCATGGATTAAAATCCTGCAGCGCACGCAAGGTCCCCCTGCTCAAGCCAGCGCATGTCCAGGCCCGTCTGAAGTTTGCCAATGACCATCTGGATGATCCAGAGGAGGAATGGGAGAAGGTCATGTGGTCTGATGAGACAAAAATAGAGCTTTTTTGTCTAAACTCCACTCGCCGTGTTTGGAGGAAGAAGAAGGATGAGTACAACCCCAAGAACACCATCCCAACCGTGAAGCATGGAGGTGGAAACATCATTCTTTGGGGATGCTTTTCTGCAAAGGGGACAGGACGACTGCACCGTATTGAGGGGAGGATGGATGGGGCCATGTATCGCGAGATCTTGGCCAACAACCTCCTTCCCTCAGTAAGAGCATTGAAGATGGGTCGTGGCTGGGTCTTCCAGCATGACAACGACCCGAAACACACAGCCAGGGCAACTAAGGAGTGGCTCCGTAAGAAGCATCTCAAGGTCCTGGAGAGGCCTAGCCAGTCTCCAGACCTGAACCCAATAGAAAATCTTTGGAGAGTGCTGAAAGTCCCTATTGCCCAGCGACAGCCCCGAAACCTGAAGGATCTGGAGAAGGTCTGTATGGAGGAGTGGGCCAAAATCCCTACTGCAGTGTGTGCAAACCTGGTCAAGACCTACAGGAAATGTATGATCTCTGTAATTGCAAACAAAGGTTTCTGTACCAAATATTAAGTTCTGCTTTTCTGATGTATCAAATACTTATGTCATGCAATAAAATGCAAATTAATTACTTAAAAATCATACAATATGATTTTCTGGATTTTTGTTTTAGATTCCGTCTCTCACAGTTGAAGTGTACCTATGATAAAAATTACAGACCTCTACATGCTTTGTAAGTAGGAAAACCTGCAAAATCAGCAGTGTATCAAATACTTGTTCTCCCCACTGTACATGTATTCAATCAAAGCCCGTAACCATGTGTGAAAAATAATGTTTGGAATCAAAACCAACAAAGCAAGGGTCCCCGTTTCTGTATTGTGTGAAACCAGAATATACCAATTGTACTGTTTATTGATGGAATAAGGCTCTTATCATTCCATGTTGATTGAATTCAGAGTTATGTTGATATTATAAATAGGAAAACAACTTGCACATCTGAGGTTGCTTGCTGCATGTGTGTGGGAATAATTTAATGGTATCTTCAAAGAAAGTAAAAACTTGCACACTACTCATGCCAGTATCACTTTTATTTTTTTTCAGTCACGGTTTTCTCCGGTACACAGCAGGAGGAAGACAGGGGCGACACCGTGTGCTAGCTAGCTAACTATCAAGCTAGCACATGGTGTTGCTACCTAGCAAGCTAACTAGTTAGCTAGCATACGGTGTCACCCCAGCCTCCTGCGTGCCGGTGTAGCTAGCGTGAGGCGGGGGCGACCGGTAGAAAGTGTCCACCCCCACCTATCGGGCACTGTTTCCCCGCAGTTCTGTTAATGACGTTGAAGGCAGGTGTTCGGCAGGTGGGAACGAAGGACACTAACTACCGGTCGCCCCTGCCTTCCGCTAGCTAGCAAGGAAGACTCTGGTAAATGGGAGGCTGGGGCAAAAAACTCTGATACCTTCATTTCCCTTTTGACCCACATTCAAAAGTGTCACACAAGCATGAAGATGTTGTGCTCGGGGAGGGGGGGGGGGGGGGCGTTCATGCAGGAACCATTGGAATGCACACTATTGTCACTTTTCTTCTTCTTGGAAGACAAAATGAGTAAGCAAGTAGCCTAAGTAGCCTTGTCTGAGCAAGAACGCCCAATAGTCCCAGAGGCCGATACGTAGCCTGAGCGTAATGAACAAAATAGATACTGGCAACAACATTGTGTTAGTTATTATTTTCTTTGTTGATCTTATAACTGTTGATATTATAAAAAATAAAAGGTAACTCACGGGAAATATTTCTTGAATGTTTCATTGCTGAGACCTCTCATACATGAGGCCAAACTGTCATTAAGGTTTCTTTCACTTGGCCTTTTCTGTCCCTTTTTTCTGATTGGTTTGTAAACTCCGTTATTCTTGCATAAGGTCTTCAATACCTTATGATACCCACTGCCTTTTTTCCCTTTCTAGAAACAAAATGTAAAACATGTTATAGGCTTTTTACAACACACAGCATCAATTATTTTCCAACAACCTAATTTGTTACTAATATCTTCAATATGTGTACATTTGTGACTTACTGGTTCTATCACTTTATCCTTGGCAATTTTCTCACATGAGTCTACTGACTGTTGAACTCCTAGTGAGAGGCATTGTTCAAAAGCCTCATAAGCCTCATCCATTGATTGACCAATGGTTTTGAGCCCCTCTTTCAGGTTATTTTCCAGAACCTGGCACACCTCTTCTTTGCTGTCTGTCTGAAATCCAAACTCAAAGCTTTTAATATACTACAGTTATTTACACGAAAGAGGTATATACACTGGAAGAAATCATTTTGTTCTGCTGGAAGTACAATACCATGTCACTGTTGTTGGCTCCTTGTATCAGAGAGAGTATCCCATAGGCTCCAGTAACATAATCTGAAATCTTTGTGCGACGATCATTGAGATTTCTGAGAAGTTCCTGAAGTTTGGGTATTTCTGAAACATGTTAATTTAAAGAGAGGTTTTCAGCAATGTATGTCTTAGTGGAGCAATTGTGGTCTGCATGACTACACTGATGAACACTCTTGGCTAAACATGTCTTGTATTAAAGGGTACCTAAACTGTGCTATCTAGAACCAAAAGGGGTTCTTCGGTTGTCCCCATAGGAGAACCCTTTGAAGAACCATTTTTAGTTCCAGGTAGAACCCTTTTGCTTCCAGGTAGGCACATATACAGTTATTTCAAATTAAATGAGGTCCATATCAAAGTCACAGGATACAGGCTTTGATTACTTTACCATAGAACGTTGGGCATCCAAATGTGTATTGGGAACTTAATCTTGGAGGACAGTGACATGATGTCAGGGTATGAAACAATGGTTAATGTAAGAACACTGGTTAACTTTTTTATTTTTTATTTGAGTAACAACTTTTTTTATGAATAATGTATTAACTTTACCAAACAACATACCTATGGTTCTTTGTACTACTTCCCTCATTTTGATGCACATACCACCACCCACTGCCAATTACAACGCAAACAAACTCATGTACATCATACGGGAATACTCTTACATAGACACACTCACAAGCACACATTGAAATGTACACACATGCACAGACATAGACATAGACACACGCATACACACACACGTACAACAAATTAACTGAATACTCATACATAGAGACACGCAAGTGTGGTTCACCAAACTACCAAACCACATTGAAATGTAGACGCACACACACACTCGATTAACACTTTACTTGATTATAGATAGGCATTCTTGAAATCTTTACGAAACCATTCATTGCATCATTGGAATGTAATTTTCGAAGTAAAAGTCGCTACAGAACTACACTACCGTTCAAAAGTTTGGGGTCACTTAGAAATGTCCTTGTTTTTGAAAGAAAAGCAAAAAAAAGAAGATGGGCAGTCTGAGATATGCCTTTTTCTTTGCAACTCTGCCTAGAAGGTCAGCATCCCGGAGTCACCTCTTCACTGTTGATGTTGAGACTGGTGTGTTGCGAGTACTATTTAATGAAGCTGCCAGTTGAGGACCTGTGAGGCATCTGTTTCTCAAACTAGACACTCTAATGTATTTGTCCTCTTGCTCAGTTATGCACCAGGGCCTCCCACTCCTTTTTCTATTCTGGTTAGAGCCAGTTTGCGCTTTTCTGTGAAGGAAGTAGTACACAGCGTTGTACGTGATCTTCAGTTTCTTGGCAATTTCTCGCATGGAATAGCCTTAATTTCTCAGAACAAGAATAGACTGACGAGTTTCAGAAGAAAGTTATTTGTTTCTGGCCATTTTGAGCCTGTAATCGAACCCACAATTGCTGATGCTCCAGATACTCAACTAGTCTGAAGAAGGCCAGTTTTATTGCTTCTTTAATCAGCACAACAGTTTTCAGCTGTAACATAATTGCAAAAGGGGTTTCTAATGATCAATTAGCCTTTTAAAATGATAAACTTGGATGGTTGCTGATAATGGGCCTCTGTACGTCTATGTAGATATTCCATAAAAAAATCAGCCGTTTCCTGCTACAATAGCCATTTACAACATTAACAATGTATACACTGTATTTCTGATCGATTTGATGTTATTTTAATGGACAAAAAAAAAAAAAAAAAAAATCGAAAACAAGGACATTTCTAAGTGACCCCAAACTTTTGAACGGTAGTGTAGGTCTGTCAAATCATTTTACAAAATCATTGAGTTAATCGTATTTATAGAAATTGTTCAAATTGGACCCTAATTAAAGATGTTCCAATTTCAAAAACATCACATTGGGTTGTAGGTAGAAACCCCAAATAAACTATATTCTAAGAAAATGAAATAACAACAGATCAGCCTGGTCTGAGTTCATGTAAAATATCATACCAGCTATTAGATCTAGCCTAGGCTACGTGTCCAGGATACTCAACATGAACTCACAAGCTGCTAATACTAGAATTGGGATCATTTGCTTAAATCTTTTGACCTGAGAACTACAACAAAAACAGTAGCTAAATGGAATGGATGTCCTGTTCTGATCAAAATCATTGTGGGAAATTAGAGTTGAATCTAGAGGCATTCAGCCATGGAATTCTCATTTGGTTAGCTAGCTAGCTAACATTAGCATAACTAGCTACTAGTGAAACGAAGTTAAGAATGTGCTGCAAGCGCACTATGCTAGCTTGAAATGTTGCAGATGGAGCCATCCAATTGGTATCTTTTAGCTGGCAGCACACTGACCCCCGTTACACTAGCTATTTCTGGGCAAATTAAGTTTTTGCTGTTATCTAAAGAAACGCCTGGGAATGTGTTAATAGTTTAACTTTCTGTAAGTTTTCCTTCGAAATTGTTGTTCAAAGCTCCATGCATAGTGGATGTTTAAGCACCACAAGAGAGACAGGCAGCTCTACAACAGCTGCTAGCTGTCGAGACTGAGAGCATACAGCACAGCACAGCAAAGCGCATTGTGTGTTGTGCTTAAAAGAGATGCGATTAACTGCGTCCCAAAAAAATTACGCGTTAACATTGACAGCCCTAAATTGACCACATCTTTACTTTATCTATGACATTAAAATGCCTATTTACTCTGTTCCATCTGACTGCGCAATCCACTGTCTCTTCAGACCAGCCAAGCAATGTCTATTAACCAATTTAGTGCATGGTGAGGTCAACATGGAAAGCCGAAACTCCCGCCCATGCAAACCAGCTGATTAGAAGTTCCTGTGTAGATTGTATTTTCAACCAGCAACTATCAGGGAATTACACTCATAATTATTTTTTTGACTTTTACTGTGTTAGTTTCATCAGCTGTTGTACAATATGATATAAAAAACATCATTTTGACTGCATTTGGCCTTTAACTAGTTTACAAGTTATTAATAGGCTATTTACTGATCTACAAAAGTGATATTGAATTGTATTTGGTAGTCTATGCAACTTAATATCAATATTTGAAGGCGATGTATCCACTGCTTGGATATTTCCATCTGTGCCACTAGCTAAGTCCTTAATATGGATTTTTGGTTGTTGGAGACGTGAATCCAACATATCCATTGTTGACTAACTCAAATTACATTTGAAATCAACCAAAGCTTGAAAAACTATAGGCCTATATGTTTTGTCTATTTGTTTTAATCCTGGGTTAAATTGAAACAATAGCTGTTGATGACCGTTTGAAAATGCTATATAGTCTTAAATAGCATAGTTGATGACATATGATTACATTGATCAAGTATGATTACATTTAAGGGTGGCTATTTACTCCGATTTCAGAGCACTGTCGTCTGAGTGTGCCAGAGCACAGAATAACTGATTAATTTACGAACGCTCATCACCCATTGAATATGGCCGGTGTCAGTAAACGTCGGCAAAAAAGCATAATTCAATTGTTGCCAGCAGCACAGTTTCAGTCACCAACGCTCTGGATAACATGAACACACCCTAACCAGCTCTGCTAGGGCGAGTAAAATGGTCAGAGTGAGATTTACTTTCATTTACGAAAGCCCAGAGCGCACTCTGAGCGTACTCTGGCACTCCAGATTGAATTTATGAACACACCCTAAGTTGCTCTGTTGAACCTACAATTTGGAATGACTTTTAAAAATAGCAACAATGAACTTATTTAGTTTTAAATGTGTAGAGATCCCTCAACAAACATTATCTTGGTAGCAAATTGGTTATAGTCAGTGACAGATATCAAAGCTGGGCTTGGTTAAAACCCTGGATGGGAGACCAAAGGGATAGATGTAGATAGATCAACTTTCCAGTAGGAGGTGCTGACCAGCCTGTTGTTTTTTTCTAATAGTGGATATAACGTTGAAGATCTGACGTTGTTTCAAAGGTAGATTTGTCTACGTTGAAAATAGGTTAACATGATGACATAATCCTGTGGTTGAAATTTCACCCTCACCTTTTTGCAAATCCAATGTATTTTACGCGTAGATTACAGTTCACAATACGTTGACAAATTATGTTGAAACAGCATGGATTAAACCAGTTTGTGCCCAGTGTGATATGTCTTACTGCCGTTGCCTCTGTGGCAGATTGATGGAAGACCTCTACTGTACCTGTGTCTTCTGGCTGTAAAACACTCTTCTTCCAGTATTGCTTGGAACTCACAGTGAAAACTTGGAAAAAGTCCTTGTCAATGTTGAATTGTTCCTGAAAGGTTGGTGAGAGAAAGTAAGAGCACAAATAAAATAAAGAAATATTTATTTCAAAGCATTAAATTATGGCTCTGTAATTTACCTTGATTTTAATTTGCTTGTTGAATTTCTCGTTCAACTTTTCCTTGGCAACCTTATTTCTGCTCAATATACTGTCACGCTTTTTTTTCTTGACATCTTCTTTGTTCCTAAAATGAGATTATGCTTGTGTCTGTCAACATGAATTCTGAGTCAACATTTATTCAAGCTGTAAAAATGATAGTTGGTGTAATGTTAACAAAAGTGCTCTTAGTATTACATGTCAGAATCCACATTGATGTTGTCTGTTTTTGTGCAGATGAAGCTGATGCTTCGACATTGTCCACCATGTCCCAAGTAGCTGACACTTTTCTCTAAGATCTCCCAAGCTTCCTTCTCTGACACTGGTCGATTAATTTCACTCACAATCCACACAGTGGTGCATCTCCCAACAACCTGAAGAAGTATAAAAATTTTTTTGCATCTCAACTACAAGTGTATAAGTAAATTACAGGGTTAGGTAAATTAATTTGTTTGTAGTTGTAAATGCAGTGTATGAAATGATAATAAATTCTAATAATTACAGATTTCCACATCTCATCTCTACTCTTGTTGCAGTCTCCATTGCCAGGAAGATCAATCAGCACAATGTGCTCCAGAAGGTCTTTGACATTTGGTATCTTGATGGTCACAGACTTCACAAGCGGCCAATATTGTTGTTTGTTACTCAGTACGTCACTCCGTAAGTAAGGCCAAAGTTCTCTAGAGAGTTCTTCTGCCTAAAATTAAAATAATTTCATTTATCAAAACAGAAATTGCCTTCAATGAAAACAGCAAACGTTTAATTTCCAGAATATTGCCCTCAAACAGGACTATTTTCGAAGCGAAACATGGCATACATAGTGGGGTTCTAAATTATTGACACCTTTGATAAAGATGAGCTATATTGTATGCAAACAAAATAATGTGGAAATTATAATATTTTACAATTGTTTAGAGAAAGAGATTTTGTTTAACAGGTAATATAAAAATATATAAAAAATGTAGGGGTTAAAATTCTAAAATGTTTTATGTGTTGGCGAACACATTGGGGGGGGGTCTTAGAGTATTCTTCTATACAGAATCCTTCCAGATCCTTGATATCCTTCGTCTGCGCTTATGGACTGCCCTCTTTAATTCAAACCACAGGTTTTCAATGGGTTTCAAGTCCGGAGACTGGAATGGCCATTGCAAAATGTTCATTTTGTGGCCAATAAATATTTTCTTTGTATATTTTGATGTGTGCTTGGGGTTATTGTCTTGCTGGAAGAGCCACTTGCGGCCAGGTTTCAGCCTCCTGGCAGAGGCAACCAGGTTTTTGCCTAAAATGTCCTGGTACTAGGTAAAGTTGTAGCTTTTGGACACAACATCAGGAGTCTGTGTATTGGTTGTACTCCCTGAGTTGTGCATCGCAAATAACCCTACCACAATATAGCCGGCTTCACCCCCCAAAAAAGTTTCCTGTCAACAAAAGCATATGTTTAATCTCTAGGAACTCTACTTACCAGACGTAAAGTGAAATGTGTCCCTCGCTTTCAAGTAAACATCTGAATCCAACTTTTGTCCACACCGCACCATATTCCTGCTGTGTAAACAGTTGTAGGTTTTGGGGTAGGAAGTTTCGCATGAAATGCTTGGTCTAACGGCAGCCCACTGTCTAACTTGGCAGGAATATGGTGCGGTTTGGAGAAAAGTTGGATTCGGATGTTTATTTGATAGCGAGGGACACATTTCACTTGACGTCTGGTAAACTGAGTTCCTCGAGATTAAACATATGCTTTGTTGTCAGGTAACGTTTAGCCAAAGAGCTCTATTTGAATGTAAATCGAGTACAGGCTTAACTGGATGAACAACAGAGAGAATGCAATATGGAATTTGGAATTGACTCCCATTCAACTCATGAGTTGAAATTAGAATTAAATTGTCCACACCACACAGGATGTAGAATCCACATTTTTGTTTGACAGGAAGTAGAATTTAATTCAGTGCAATTCAAAGAAATTCCATTCAGTCATAGAACATGAGAGTTTCATTGAATCTGACAGGTCACACTTCCATATACCAAAGAATATATAACTTTTCTCTGGAAACAATGTTAATATACTATTTTAACCTTAGTGCTTAGAATAGCCAAATATACACTGAGTGTACAAAACATTAAGAACACTTTATCCATGACATAGACTGACCAGTTGAATCCAGGTGAAAGCTATGATCCCTTTGTCACGCCCTGGCTCTGGGGACTCTTATATGTTGAGCCAGGGTGTGGAGTTTCTATGTGTTATTTTCTATGTTGTGTTCTAGTTTGTGTTTTCTATGTTGGCCAGGGTGGTTCCCAATCAGACGCAGCTGATTCTCGTTGTCTCTGATTAGGAACCATACTTAGGCAGCCTTTTGGCACTAGTTTATTGTGGGATCTTGTTCCGGAAGGTTTGTGTATTTACCTAGGACTTCACGTATCGTTTATTGTTTTGGTTCGTTGTGTGTACACTAATAAAAGTATGTACGCCTATCACGCTGCGCCTTGGTCCGCTTCATCATGTGTCAACAATCGTGACAGAAGATCCCACCTCGACTGGATCAAGCAGCGTGACGAGGAGAGAGGATGGACGTGGGAGGAGAAGAGTGAGAGTCTGGCGAGAGCCATGGAGGCCATGTTTAGGGGGGGGGCTCACACCGTGGTCGGCGAGGCAGCAGGAGGCCGCGATAGAGCGGTTCGGCAGGTTTGCAGAGGAGGCCGCCAGGTTACGGGGGCCACTGGTCACGAGGGAGAAGGAGAGTGTAGAGGCACGGCGAGAGGTACTGGGGTGTGTTACCAGTCCAGTCCGGCCCGTTCCTGATCCCCGCACAAGGCCAGTGGTGTGTGTTCCCAGTACGGTCCGGCCTGTTCCTGTCCCTCGCACCAAGCCTGTAGTGCGTGTCGCCAGCCCGGTCCGGCCTGTTCCTGCTCCCCGTACCAAGCCTGTGGTGCGCGTCGCCAGCCCGGTCCGGCCTGTTCCTGCTCCCCGCACCAAGCCAGTGGTGCGTGTCGCCAGCCCGGTCCGGCCTGTTCCTGCTCCCCGCACCAAGCCAGTGGTGCGCGTCGCCAGCCCGGTCCGGCCTGTTCCTGCTCCCCGCACCAAGCCAGTGGTGTGCGTCGCCAGCCCGGTCCGGCCTGTTCCTGCTCCCCGCACCAAGCCAGTGGTGCGCGTCGTCAGCCCGGTCCGGCCCGTTCCTGCTCCCCGCACCAAGCCAGTGGTGCGCGTCGCCAGCCCGGTCCGGCCTGTTCCTGCCCGCACCAAGCCAGTGGTGCGCGTCGTCAGTCCGGCACATCCCGTGCTGCTCCACACCAGAGCCTGAGCAATCCGCTCCACCGGTGTCCAGTCCAGCTCCGGCCAGCGGGGCCAGACCAGACCAGGGGCGCTACGGGGGAGTAGCCAAAGAGTGGTGGTCACGCCCGGTGCCGGATCCGCCTCCGAGGCGGAATGCCCACCCGGCCCCTCCCCTGTTGGGTTTGGTTGTCGCGGTCGCAGTCCGCGCCTTTGGGGGGGGGGGGTACTGTCACGCCCTGGCTCTGGGGACTCTTATATGTTGAGCCAGGGTGTGGAGTTTCTATGTGTTCTTTTCTATGTTGTGTTCTAGTTCTAGTTTTCTATGTTGGCCAGGGTGGTTCCCAATCAGAGGCAGCTGATTCTCGTTGTCTCTGATTGGGAACCATACTTAGGCAGCCTTTTGGCACTAGTTTATTGTGGGATCTTGTTCCGGAAGGTTTGTGTATTTACCTAGGACTTCACGTATCGTTTATTGTTTTGGTTCGTTGTGTGTACACTAATAAAAGTATGTACGCCTATCACGTTGCGCCTTGGTCCGCTTCATCATGTGTCAACGATCATGACACCCTTATTGATGTCACTTGTTGAATCCACTTCAATCAGTGTAGATGAAGGGAAGGAGACAGGTTAAATAAGGATGTTTAAGCCTTGACACAATTGAGACATACAGTAGATTGTGTATGTGTGCCATTCAGAGGGTGAATGGGCAAGACCAAAAAAATTTAAGTGCCTTTGAACGGGGTGTGGTAGTAGGTGCCAGGCGCACCGGTTTGAGTGAGTCAAGAACTGCAACGCTGCTGGGGATTTCAGAATGGTCCATCACCCAAAGGACATCCAGCCAACTTGACACAACTGTGGAAAGCATTGGAGTCAACATGGACCAGACGAATTGAGGCTGTTCTGAGGGCAAACAACTCAATATTAGGAAGGTGTTTCTAATGTTTTGTACACTCAGTGTATATGCATGTACAGTATATAACAACATGTTTAATGTTTTATGTACAATATGTATATTTGTATAGACTACACCTAATATAGAATATAATAAGTATTTTCATTTAATTTAATTTCACTGAATTAAATTATATTTCCTTTCATTCGAATTTAAATTCTGTATCCTGTTAAATTTTTACTTTATAAAAAAAAAAAATACTACTTCAATTAAAATTCAAGAATAGAATAGGAATTTACAGTATGAGGCATTCTCAATAAAATTCTGAATTGAGCCCAACTCTGACCTCCACTGGTCCTGGGGACCTTGTTAAGGGCAACTTAACACTGGGTCGTAAATTTAAGCAGGAGAGAACTCTCTTCCTGTCTCTCTATTATTGAGAAAATAAGGCCTTTGTGTAGAGAGAGACTTTTGCCGCCAAAACCTTTTTCCCAAAAAAGTGATAATTGGAACATTTATTTCTATCATCCGAATGTTAAGAATGGTCAGTGGGGATCTAAAGAATAATCATGTCATATTGTTTATTATTTAGTGATGTCATTAAGGATGGTATCAATAAATAACTGTAACTCGGAAAGTGTACATATTCTATCTATCAAGTTTACATCTAAATGTTGTATAAAATATATTATTAAGTATGAGAATATTTTGGTGAAGATAGGAATGTGATTTTAGTCTTCTAATGAGATAATCGTTTTTCATATAAACTTTGCCCAGTCAGTAACCACGCCCCAAGGGAGCATGATGGAACGCCCCCTTTTTACCCGAGGATAAAAAGCCTTGGTAACTAAATTTACCTCAGACCAGAAAACGTGAGAGTGGCGACTGCACGTTTAGACTGGTTAGAACTTTGGACCAGCAGACCAGCAGACGTGAAGCGTGAGCTAAACATTACAAAATGGTTAGACCAGAAAGACCAGTGGCTACACGGTTGAAAATGGTTAGAACTTTGAATTTCAACACGAGGTGAAGAAGATAAACTCACTAGACCAAAACGCATTGGCAGTCCGCATATGTACATGTAAAGTAGTCTAGAACTTTGACTAAAGACACGTGGTGGGAAGAAAGGAGAATCCCATCTCAGACAACTATTGGTGCATCTGAACCATTGCTGTATTTGTTCTAACAAACACTTCACTACCAGAGAAGCGCTACAAAGAAGGACATTGTGAGCTCTGGTGGACAATCAGAGCCTTACAAGTGAGCTGAGCGAAGACCCAGTCTTTCCAAGAGGGCTTGGGTCAACAGAGATAGACGAGCGGCAAACACGTAAATACATTCATTGGTTTCTTACTCCGAACGGGCGGTGGTTACGGTGCTAAGTATTCTGATTACTGTGACCGTAGTTTCCAAATATATGTACGACAAGTTTGACTCTAAATGCCCGGCTATGAAAAGCCAAGTGACATTTACTCTTGATGTACTGACCTGTTGCAACCTCTACAACCACTGAGATCAGATGGCGCCGGTGAAGATGGCTGCCGTTTTACAGCCCTCTAACCAATTATACTATTATGTGTGTTTTTTCGCGTTATTTGTCATTTATTCTGTACATAATGTTTCTGCCATCGTCTCTTATAACCAAAAAGAGCGTCTGGATATCAGGACAGCGATTACTCACCTCGTATTGGACAAGGCCCAAATCCCCGTCATTCGAAGGTGAAAGAGACAGAGATATCGTGGACATAGGTCGAGGTGCCTTGTAAGGATCCAAAGGCGAGCGAGTAAACTGCCTCTTCCATCAATCCTATTAGCCAATGTTCAATCATTTGAAAATAAGGTAGACGACCTAAGATTACGGTTATCCTACCAACGGGACATTAAAAACTGTAATATCTTATGTTTCACCGAGTCATGGCTGAATGACGACATGGACAACATACAGCTAGCGGGCTATACACTACATCTGCAAGATAGAACGGCTGACTCCGATAAGACAAGGGATGGCGGTCTGTGTATATTTGTAAACAACAGCTGGTGCACAAAATCAAATACCAAGGAAGTCTCGAGGTTTTGCTCGCCTGTGGTAGAGTATCTTATGATAAGCTGTAGACCACACTATTTACCAAGAGAGTTTTCATCTATATTTTTCATAGCTGTCTATTTACCACCACAAACCAATGCTGGCATTAAGATTGCACTCAATGAGCTGTATAAGGCCATAAGTGAACAGGAAAATGCTCATCCAGAGGAAAAAAAACTCTAGACCACCACACACAGAGACGCATACAAAGCTCTCCCTCGCCCTCCATTTGGCAAATCTGACCATAGATCTATCCTCCTGATTCCTGCTTATAAGCAAAAACTAAAGCAGGAAGCACCAGTGACTCGGTTAATAAAAAAGTGGTCAGATGACGCAGATGCTAAGCTACAGGACTGTTTTGCTAGCACAGACTGGAACATGTTCCGGGATTCTGCATTGAGGAGTACACCACATCAGTCACTGGCTTCATCAATAAGTGCATCGATGACGTCGTCCCCACATTGACCACATGTACATACCCCAACCAGAAGCCATGGATTACAGGCAACATCCGCACTGAGCTAAAGGGTAGAGCTGCCGCTTTCAAGGAGCCTTACTCTATTCCGGACGCTTATAAGAAATCCCGCTATGCCCTCCGACAAACCATCAAACAGGCAAAGAGTCAATACAGGACTAAGATTGAATCATACTAAACCGGTTCTGATGCTCGTCGGATGTGGCAGGGCTTGAAAACTATTACAGACTACAAAGGGAAGCACAGCCGCGAGCTGCCCAGTGACACAATCCTACCAGACGAGCTAAACCACTTCTATGCTCGCTTCGAGGCAAGCAACACTGAAGCATGCATGAGAGCGCCAGCTGTTCCGGATGACTATGTGATCACGCTCTCCGTAGCCGATGTGAGTAAGACTTTTAAGCAGGTCAACATTCACAAGGCCGCAGGGCCATATGGATTACCAGGACGTGTACTCCGAGCATGTGCTGACCAACTGGCAAGTGTCTTCACTGACATTTTCAACATGTCCCTGACTGAATCTGTAATACCAACATGTTTCAAGCAGACCACCATATTCCCTGTGCCCAAGGACACTAAGATAACCTGCCTATACCAGGCGGTGTCAGAGGAAGGCCCTCAAAATTGTCAAAGACTCCAGCCACCCTAGTCATAGACTGTTCTCTCTGCTACCGCACGGCAAGCGGTACCGGAGTGCCAAGTCTAGGTCCAAAAGACTTCTCAACAGCTTCTACCCCCAAGCCATAAGACTCCTGAACAGCTAATCATGGCTACCCGGACTATTTGCACTGCCCCCCCACCCCATCCTTTTTACGCTGCTGCTACTCTGTTAAGAATTTATGCATAGTCACTTTAACTCTACCCACATGTACATATTACCTCAACTACCTCAACTAGCCGGTGCCCCCGCACATTGACTCTGCAACGGTACCCCCCCTGTATATATAGCCTCCCTACTGTCACTTTATTTTACTGTATATATAGCCTCCCTACTGTCACTTTATTTTACTTCTGCTCTTTTTTTCTCAACACTTTTTTTGTTGTTGTTTTATTCTTACTTTTTTGTTTAAAATAAATGCACTGAAACTACCGACCTGTAGCACTGACGTCTGTAGCCATGAAGTGCTTTGAAAGGCTGGTCATGGCTCAGATCAACACCATTATCCCAGAAACCCTAGACCGACTCCAATTTGCATACCGCCCCAACAGATCCACAGATGATGCAATCTCTATTGTACTCCACACTGCCCTTTCCCACCTGGACTAAATGGCATATTATTATAATAAATATTATTATGTGAGAATGCTATTCATTGACTACAGCTCAGCGTTCAACACCATAGTGCCCTCAAAGCTCATCACTAAGCTAAGGATCCTGGGACTAAACACCTCCCTCTGCAACTGGATCCTGGACTTCCTGACGGGCCGCCCCCAGGTGGTAAGGGTAGTTAACAACACATCTGCCACGCTGATCCTCAACACGGGGGCCCCTCAGGGGTGCGTGCTCAGTCCCCTCCTGTACTCCCTGTTCACCCATGACTGCATGGCCAGGCACGACTCCAACACCATCATTAAGTTTGCCGACGACACAACAGTGGTAGGCCTGATCACCGACAACGATGAGACAGCCTATAGGGAGGAGGTCAGAGACCTGGCCGTGTGGTACCAGGATAACAACCTCTCCCTCAACGTGACCAAGACAAAGGAGATGATTGTGGACTACAGGAAAAAAAAGAGGAATGAGCACGCCCCCATTCTCATCGACAGGGCTGTAGTGGAACAGGTTGAGAGCTTCTAGTTCCTTGGTGTCCACATCACCAACAAACTATCATGGTCCAAACACACCAAGACAGTCGTGAAGAGGGCACAACAAAGCCTATTCCCCCTCAGGAGACTGAAAAGATTTAGCATGGGTCCTCAGATCCTCAAAAAGTTCTACAGCTGCACCATCGAGAGAATCCTGACTGGTTGCATCACCGCCTGGTATGGCAACTGCTCGGCCTCCGACCGCAAGGCACTACAGAGGGTAGTGCGTACGGCCCAGTACATCACTGGGGCAAAGCTTCCTGCCATCCAGGACCTCTATTCAAGGCGGTGTCAGAGGAAGGCCCTCAAAATTGTAAAAGACTCCAGCCACCCTAGTCATAGACTGTTCTCTCTGCTACCGCACGGCAAGTAGTACCGGAGCACCAAGTCTAGGTCCAAAAGGCTTCTCAACAGCTTCTACCCCCAAGCCATAAGACTCCTGAACAGCTAATCATGGCTACCCAGACTATTTGCAAAAAATAATGTATGCACTCACTCACTAACTGTAAGTCGCTCTGGATAAGAGCGTCTGCTAAATGACTAAAATGTAAACGTAAATTTGATTTGATTACTGCTGGTCATCTATGAACGTTTGAACATCTTGGAGAAGAATCTGGCCTTAATGGCCAAGTACTGTTATAATCTCCACCCGGCACAGCCAGAAGGGGACCCCTCAGAGCCTGGTTTCTTCCTAGGTTTCTGCCTTTCTAGGGAGTTTTTCATAGCCCCCGTGCTTCTACATCTGCATTGCTTGCTGTTTGGGGTTTTAGGCTGGGTTTCTGTATAGCACTTTGTGACATCTGCTGATGTAAAAAGGGCTTTATAAATAAAATGTGATTGATTGATTGACTCTCTTTGTCCCTCTCTCCCTCCTATTGACCCCTCTAATTTTCATAACCAAGTAGTCATGCTGTTAGTCCGCTAGATACTTTTCTCATGTTTAAGTTTGTATGTATTCTCTGTTATTATTTAGTTAGCTAGTAAATAAATGATTAAGCCAACTTGTGTATTGCTGACTCAAAAGTAAGGTTAGGGTTCTGGCGGATTCAAGGATTTTGCGACGTTCAGAATGAGACTGATATGAGGTAATGATTTATCTTCTAAGAGTTTAATTCAAGAGATGGTAACTCATTAAACAACTTCTTCCGTGGTGCCCCAGTTAATTGTTACATGATTAATTTAATTTAGTAATTAAATTAAACATAGTTAGTTGATTCGATAAATAACAGTCATCACATTAATGAAAGTCACGTCACGACAATATTTTAGGCAAAAACTTGGTTGCCCCTGCCAGGAAGCTGAAACTTGGCCGCAAATGGATGTTTCAGAAAGACAATATCCCCAAGCACTCATCGAAATCCACAAATAAATGGTTAATTGGCCAAAAAATCAACATCCTTCGGAGACAAAGGATGTCAAGGATTTGGAAGGATTGGTCTATGATCCCTCCCAATGTGGTCTCCAACTCATACATTTTTTTCGAAAAAGGCTCAGTGCTGTTATCTTCACAAAGGCTATTGAAAGGTATTGAAAACAGGGGTGTCATTAATTTGGACCCCTATCTTTAAAAAAATAAAAATAACATTCTCTGAGCAAATGTATTAGTATAAAATGATATAATTTCCCTTTTTTTTTGGCATACAATATAGCTCAGTATTGAATTACTTATTTTATACAGTCATTGTTGCTCATCTTTATCAAGGGTGTCAATAATTTCAGACCCTACAGTATACTAATTTTCTTGGACCAGCGATGTGCCACTGAAAATGTGTGATAAGCCTAATTTTAAAGTGCAGGGAAGTGCAACAACTCCTTTAGTAAAGATTGCTCACAAACTAGCACCTGTTACAAAATAACTTTTACAGCATTTCGTGTTATCATAATTGTATGGTTTTATATAATTACAATCTAATATGGGTGCCTACCTGAGATGTTTTAAATTCTTTCTTTTTTCCTGAGAGAAACTCTGGAATTGATCTAAAGTGATTGCTGTCCATCAGATCATTCACAGAGGCATTATTTCCATCTTCTCTGTACAGTGCACGGATCTTTTCAGCATCATCATATTCATCTATGACGCCATCACTGTCCTCGTTCTCACCATCATTTCCCTCCACTGATTTTCTCTCTGCTAAGATGGACTGAAGCTCCTCTACCCATTCCTAGTGAATATAAGTAAAATACATGAAAAATAAAAAATTTTTCCACAAAAGCACAACTACTCATTCAAGAGTTTTTCTTAATTTTTACTATTTTCTACATTGTATAATAATATTGAAGACATCAAAACAATAAAATAACACATATGGAATCATGTAGTAACCAAAAATGTGTCAAACAAATCAAAGTATATTTGATATCGCTGCAGAATGTGGTGGTAGCCATGCTGGTTAAGCGTGCCTTGAAATCTAAATAAATCACAGACAGTGTCACCAGCAAAGCACCCCCACACCATAACACCTCCTCCTCCATGCTTTATGATGGGAAATACACATGCGGAGATCATCCATTCACCCACACCACGTCTTACACAGACACAGCGGTTGGAACCAAACATCTCCAATTTGGACTCCAGACCAAAGGACACATTTCAACCGGTCTAATGTCCATTGCTTGTGTTTCTTGGCCCAAGCAGGTCTCTTCTTATTATTGGTGTCCTTCAGTAGTGGTTTCTTTGCAGCATTTCGACCATGAACAGTTAATGTTGAGATGTGTCTGTGACTTGAACTCTGTGAAGCATTTTATTGGTTGATAACTCTAATGAACTTATCCTCTGCAGCAGAGGTAACTCTGGGTCTTCCATTCCTGTGGTGGTCCTCATGAGACCCAGTTTCATCATAGCGCTTGATGGTTTTTGCTCATAGCGCTTGATGGTTTTTGCGACTGCACTTGAAGAAACTTTCAAAGTTCTTGAAATGTTCTGTACTGACTGACCTTCATTGTCCTGTTTTGTTTTCAACAGGACAATGACCCAACACACCTCCAGGCTGTGTTAGGGCTATTTTATAATGAAGGAGAGTGATGCAGTGCTGCATCAGATGACCTGGCCTCCACAATCCCCCGACCTCAACCCAATTGAGATGGTTTGGGATGAGTCGGACAGCAGAGTGAAGGAAAAGTAGCCAACAAGTTCTAAGCATATGTGGGAACTCCTTCAAGACTGTTGGAAAAGCATTCCAGGTGAAGCTGGTTGAGAGAATGCCAAGAGTGTGCAAACCTATCATCAAGGCAAAGGGTGGCTATTTGAAGAATCTCAAATATAAAATATATTTTGATTTGTTTAACACTTTTTTGGTTACTACATGATTCCATGTGTGTTCTTTCATAGTTTGGATGTCTTCACTATTATTCTACAATGTAGAAAATAGTAAAAAATAAATAAAAACCCTTGAATGAGTAGGTGTGTCCAAACTTTTGACTGGTACTGTATATTGTTTATAATTAGTGAAAGACATAATGTAGTTAATGTAGAAAAAATATATTTTTCAAAGCCATTTTGCGGATAGACAATAGTCACACTAATTGTTTGGTCCGTATCTAGCATAGAATCATGGGAATTTGTCCAGCTATGCCAATGTTGCCTCCCTTCCAAGGCAAGTGTTGCTAGGCAACCCCCTGGACATGCCAGAACAAGCCTGCTCCCCCTATGGTTAAAGCCAATGTGAGGAACTTGCTAGCAAATGTTTACGCTATGAACAAATGAATAAATACTGCACCACAAAAATGATTTGCTAGATTCAAGATAGTGTAGTTAGACGAAGCAAGAAAAGTAAACTTCAAAATGTGATGTCATTATTTGTGATTTGCAGCTGTTGTTGGTAAGTAATGCATCCTGCAAGCTTCTAAAATGACATACTCAACCTTTAAATAAAGGCATATGAAACACAGATTATTACCTCGTGTGTAATGAACTCAATCTCTGCAGTGTATTTTCCGTCCCTGGTTATGTTAGCCTCCACCTGAATCATGACTGAGGTGCATGCACTGACGTCTCCAACGGGCAGTACATTTCCCTGATCCAAGATGCTGTTAATCAAATAGCTTTTACCAGCGCCAGTCTTCCCAAATACACCCACTACCTCTTTTTTGTCTGTCTCCAACACTTTGATTTTATGGCTGTTAGAAGTGAAAGAAAATGTTATTGTTCTCATCAATTTAAATAATTGAAGTGATACAATTCACTGTTCCCCATTAGAAATACTTGCCGAAGGAATTCTTTGAACTTCAATGAACTTTGATGATCGGCAGGTTTGCTTTGGAGTTTGCCTTTGACCCGTTTCATGATCTCTTTTCCCTTTGTCATGCCATCTATTCCAGGCAGAGTAAACACACAAGTTATAAACCTTCTAATGGAACCAAAAATACATTACTCTAAAAGTTGCAGAAATATCACACTGGAAAAAGGTACTCTTGAAGCTTAGAATGTAAGACAGTATCTATCAAGGGTGTGGTACTTCAACATTTGCTATGCCAATAATAATTAGCCTCCTACCTGCTCTTCCCAATAGAGTGCCACAAAGCTGTTTGGGTGTATTGGTTATTGGTGGATTAGCCTCATCAGCTTTCCTTTTGGCTGAAAATCAGCAGTTCATCATTATTGACATGGATTAAATATTGTGTGTGTACAGTATGTGTGTGCAGTAGTTGCTATGCCAATAATATTGGTATTATTCATAATTGACATTCATTTAAGTTTCTTAACAGTCAAAACCATTGTTTTTCATCAAATCTGATGATATTTGGATGAAACAGTTCAAGGGGTAACCAAATTATGAAAAACGACTGTTGCTTGTACATCAATAAAGTTACATTAAAAAATAACTGGCTTTCTCCTCTGTGTCAAAAATCTGAGTTCAGCCAGATAGCCTAACTATTGGCCTATTGGGGCAAGATGCAACATCACAGCATCTTATTGTCTATCTGCAAGCTAGGAGAGCTTATTAATATTATCCCCCCCGACCATTCAGTCTGTCCTACAGCCTTACTGATGGTTAGAGATGAGAGAAAGGGTACACTCCAATTCTGAGCATTCTAATTTGGAAAATATATTATGGGTGATGTTTTGATCACTCAAAGGCTAATTTACATGGGAAATAGGATTTGACCATTTGATCTATTTCACATATTTTTTTATATACAAATAAAGTGTTTTGTAATAGTTCAACATATTACACAATATAATAATGACAATAAAAATAGTAATTTATTTAATTTGTAAAACACTATCTCACACTGAAGGCGCTACAAAATTTATTTTTATTTTTTATAATAATACAAATAATAATAAAAACATATGTATAGTCGCAATATATGTGCTCAATAGCTTTTGTACCTGGAGTAGAGGTAGCACAGGGAGAGAGCATCTTACTGGTTGAGGGCTCAATCTGAAAAACAACCAAATCTAATCATCAACAGGTTAATTAAAATAAATTCTATATATATTTCATAGAAATCTTTAGTTTAAGATGTGTATGCTATTGTATTTTGGAAAATGATTAAAGCTAGCATGTTCCGGTAGACTTCCAGTCATTGTGCTAATCCTACTTAGAAATGGCTTGCGAACTGAATGCAGAGACATAAAAATGGTATCAATGACTTCATCAGACTTGGGGCTGAATTACCAAAATCTTCCATTAACCCTTTCAGTTTGCACAAATTGAACTTAACAGAAATGACAAAAATTACTTAAATAACTTAATTCATATCCCTTAAAACACTTGGTCCTATAGACTCAACAAAGCCATCTTATGCCATCTTAAATCTAATAAATAGCTTGTTACATACCTCTATGTTACATAATTCTTTAAGTTTCTTTTTGAATGTAAGCCTTGGTCCCCAAGGTGGAATCAAGGCCTCCTGAGCTGTTTCTTCATCAAGTAGAAGCTTGAAATTTGTTTCAGAAATGTGTTGAGCTAAAAGTACAATTATACAATGGAATCATATTAAAATAGGGCGTAATCTGCAGTCTAATTACGAGGGTTTGAGTACTTTGGGCAACAGGCAGACAGGGGTGAAGTAATTTCAGAAAATTCCTCCTGGGGATGTATGTATGAAGTGTCTCAGAGTAGGAGTGCTGATCTAGGATCAGGTCTCCATGTCCATGTTAAAATACTCATTGTGATCTAAAAGACAAAACTGATCCTAAATCAGCATTCCTACTCTGAGACGCTTGATTCATACAGTCGTGGTCAAAAGTTTTGAGAATGACACAAATATTAATTTTCACAAAGTCTGCTGCCTCAGTTTTTATGATGGCAATTTGCATTTACTCCAGAATGTTATGAAGAATGATCAGATGAATTGCAATTAATTGCAAAGTCCCTCTTTGCCATTAAAATGAACTTAATCCCCAAAAAACATTTCCACTGCATTTCAGCCCTGCCACAAAAAGACCAGCTGACATCATGTCAGTGATTCTCTCGTTAACACAGGAGAGAGTGTTGACGAGGACAAGGCTGGAGATCACTGTCATGCTGATTGAGTTAGAATAACAGACTGGAAGCTTTAAAATGAGGGTGGTGCTTGAAATCATGGTTCTTCCTCTGTTAACCATGGTTACCTGCAAGGAAACACGTGCCATCATCATTGCTTTGCACAAAAAGGGCTTCACGGGCAAGGATATTGCTGCTAGTAAGATTGCACCTAAATCAACCATTTATCGGATCATCAAGAACTTCAAGAAGAGAGGTTCAATTGTTGTGAAGAAGGCTTCAGGGCGCCCAAGAAAGTCCAGCATGCGCCAGGACCGTCTCCTAAAGTTGATTCAGCTGTGGGATCGGGGCACCACCAGTGCAGAGCTTGCTCAGGAATGGCAGCATGCAGGTGTGAGTGCATCTGCACGCACAGTGAGGCGAAGACTTTTGGAGGATGGCCTCGTGTCAAGAAGGGCAGCGAGGAAGCCACTTCTCTCCAGGAAAAACATCAGGGACAGACTGATATTCTGCAAAAGGTACAGGGGTTGGACTGCTGAGGACTGGGGTAAAGTCATTTTCTCTGATTAATCCCCTTTCTGATTGTTTGGGGCATCCAGAAAAAAGCTTCTCTTGAGAAGACAAGGTGAGCGCTACCATCAGTCCTGTGTCATGCCAACAGTAAAGCATCCTGAGACCATTCATGTGTGGGGTTGCTTCTCAGCTAAGGGAGAGGGCTCACTCACAATTTTGAGTAAGAACACAGCCATGAATAAAGAATGGTACAAACACATCCTCCGAGAGCAACTTCTCCCAACCATCCAAGAACAGTTTGGTGACAACCAAGGCCTTTTCCAGCATGATGGAGCACCTTGCCATAAGGCAAAAGTGATAACTAAGTGGCTCGGGGAACAAAACACCAACATTTTGGTTCCATGGCCAGGAAACTCCCCAGACCTTAATCCCATTGAGAACTTGTGGTCAATCCTCAAGAGGCGGGTGGACAAACAAAACCCCACAAATTCTGACAAACTCCAAGCATTGATTATGCAAGAATGGGCTGCCATCAGTCAGGATGTGGCCCAGAAGTTAATTGACAGCATGCCAGGGTGAATTGCAGAGGTCTTGAAAAAGATGGGTCAAGACTGCAAATATTGACTCTTTGCATAAACTTAATGTAATTGTCAATAAAAGCCTTTGACACTTATGGAATGCTTGTAATTATACTTCAGTATTCCATAGTAACATATCTAAAATCACTGAAGCAGCAAACTTTGTGAAGACCAATACTTGTGTCATTCAAAAAACGTTTGACCTCGACTGTACAGCTCCAGATTACATTATAGTAAATTATATATTTTTCTATTAAAAAAAATCTGTTATCACATAATTTATGTACACACTGGTATGTTCCTGGATTTAATGAATATGAGGTTAAAAAGTAGTTAAATATTCATTAAATATGAAATGTTCTAAAATATTAATGACATTTCACCTACAATAATTTGTGATCAAGTGTGTTCTGCAAACAATTGATCAATGAGGCCCTTTGTATCCAGTTTTGTGTGGTTGCCATCAATGTTAGCTACTGTAAATGTATTGTCAGTAAGTTCCATTTTGGAATGCAGTTACCTAGTTTGGAATGGTGAGGAGGTTTATATGGCCAGAACTACTAAACAGGTATGTGGTTAACATGTTTCGAGTGGCTATGTACGGTACTAGAAGAGGGTATTTATTATGCAGGTCCCACTTTATTTGAAATGCATCTTATGAAGCCCATATTTATTATGTGATACCCAATTACCTTACCTTTAAAGTTGTTGATGTACTCACTGAGTCCCCATTCTTGTAATTTCCCTTTGACATAGTCATCCATGATGCTACACTATGAATAGAAAATGAAACAAGAAAGAACTGTTAAATTAAATAAGACAAATTAGTTAAAGAGCTATACATCCATACGGCTCGCTCAAGATTGACTTTGAAATTTGGCATTTGGAGAAATGTGGATAAATGTCAGAATCTGAAGTCAAATTGGTAAAAACTTTTATTGTAAATAAGAATATGTTTCTAGACACTTCTACATATATGAGTCCGCTACCATGATTACAGATAATCCTGAATAAATTGTGAATAATGACTTGTGAGAAAGTTACAGAGGGTTAAAAAAATCATACCCCCAAGACATCTCACCATTACCAATAACAGGGGAGGTTAGCATGTCTTGGAGGTATGATCTTCAACCCTCTGTACGTTTCTCAGTCATCGTTATTCACAATTCATTCAGGATTATCTGTAATCATGGTGGCATCCACATTATTGTAAAAGTGTTAAGAAACATATTCTATTCTTATTTATAATGAAAGTTACTCCAAAATGACACAATACATTATTTACCATTCCTTTCTGTTGGGCACAAAATAATCTGAAACACACCAAAACAAACTGCAAATGCATCCAACAAGTTTGTAGAGTCGCAAGCGTGATGTAGTCATTTCGTGCAAGGAATATGGGACCAAACACTAAACTTTTGACGCCTACCTTTTTGAAAATGTTGGTTGTTACTTGTTTAACAAAATCTCTTTATATGAGCAATTGTATTAGTATACAATAATATAAATTTCCCCCAGAAACATTTTGGAACCAACTATATTTGTTTACCATTTAGAAATAAAATAACTTTATGTATACTGTCCGCCCATGTGAAGAAGTCTTAAGTATTTGGACAAATTCACTCATAGTTTTTCAAAGTAGTCAAAAGTATAGCATTTGGTCCCATATGCCCTGCATGCAATGACTACATCAAGCTTGTGACTTTACAAACTCTCTTTGGATGCATTTGTTTTTGGTTATGGTTTGCCCAATAGTAATTGAATGGGAAATAATGACTGTAATATTTTCTAACTGAGTATAAGATGTTTCTAAACACATCTAAATAAATCCTGATAATGCCATGAACCTAGAGTCGATGTCCGCACCCCCGAGAAAATCGAATTAGCATAATACAAAAATCCTCATAGAAATCTGTCAGTTTAAGCTAGAGATATCAGTTATTTTGCATCGGACGCGTCTCAATCCACCGCATCCGCAGATATCGCACTTCCGCATATGCGGTGAAAGGTGACAGAGCTAGAGTAGTGTTTGTCAGACCATGGGTCATCCCGACAATCAGTGTTCTCACAAAATTGCCTGTAGCGTCCAAACTATTATGAGACTCTCACAAACAAGATGGTGTTCTCCATTTGGCACTACGACCCCCACAAGATCTTGGGACTGAAGTCGGTACAGACGATCTGCCAACTTCTGTCTGTAGTGTCTGAACAGTTTGGGCTACACACTAATATAACCTCTCTATGGAAAATGAGACTGTCACAAACACGTACATGTCAGTTGTTTTGCTCTAGAACACCCACAGGCCTCACAAGACTTGTCTGAAGGTCCCCGGTACCAGTTGCAAACATTTTGGAAGTTCGGGGAAAAAATATTAGTCAGCCACCAATGGCAGTTTCCCACTTAAAAGATAGGAGGACTGTATTTAATAGTCCATTTGCACAAATTGAAAAAAATCCAAAAAATGTAGATTTTTTGAATGTATTTGCAATTATGTGAAAATAAGTATGTGGTCACCTACAACAAGCAGATTTTTGGCCTCACAGACTTAACTTCTTCTTTAAGAGCTCTCTGTCTCCACCGGTTAATGGACGTTGAACTGTTACAGTATAAAGACACCTGTCCAAACCTCAACAGTCACATCAAACTCCACTATGGCAAGACCAAGAGCTGTCAAGACACAGAAACAAAATTGTAGACCTGCACCAGGCTGGGAAGACTGAATCTGCAATAGGTAAGCAGCTTGGTTTGAAGAAATCAACTGTGGGAGCAATTATTAGGAAATGGAAGACATACAAGACCACTGATAATCTCCCTCGATCTGGGGCTCCACGCAAGATCTCACCCCGTGGGGTCAAAATGATCACAAGAACAGTGAGCAAAAATCCCAGAACCACACGGGGGGACCTAGTGAATGACCTGCAGAGAGCTGGGACCAAAGCAACAAAGCCTACCATCAGTAACACACTACGCCGCCAGGGACTCAAATCCTGCAGTGCAAGACGTGTCCCCCTGCTTAAGCCAGTACATGTCCAGGACCGTCTGAAGTTTGCTAGAGTGCATTTGGATGATCCAGAAGAGGATTGGGAGAATGTCATATGGTCAGATGAAACCAAAATAGAACTTTTTGGTAAAAACTCAACTCATCGTGTTTGGAGGACAAAGAATGCTGAGTTGCATCCAAAGAACACCATACCTACTGTGAAGCATGGGGGTGGAAACATCATGCTTTGGGGCTGTTTTTCTGCAAAGGGACCAGGATGACTGATCCGTGTAAAGGAAAGAATGAATGGGGCCATGTATTGTGAGATTTTGAGTGAAAACCTCCTTCCATCAGCAAGGGCATTGAAGATGAAACGTGGCTGGGTCTTTCAGCATAACAATGATCCC